AGTCTATCAAAAAACTTAATTTTTTAAACAGATTTTAGACTTCGATTTTAATATACTTTTGCTTTATGACTTTCCATTTCCAGAGTTATCACAAATTGCTATTTTTTTCGTTGCTTTTTCTCCTTTCCTTTCCTTTCCATTTCAGCCTGCTTTTACTTCATTAACTTTCGGGATATACGCGTTTCTGTAAACCTGGTCAAAATTTGCAAAATCTAGGTTTTGACTTTTATTTTCCTTATTCTATACAAGTTATTGAATCTTTGCAGTGGATTCGTGTCCTTAAGTACGTTAAAAATGTCTCTCTCTCTTTCTCTCTCATCAGTGCAATTTGATTATATCATTTTGATTTTATTTTTTATCATTTTCATTCTTTGTGACTGCGGTTTGAAACAAGGAAAGAACATTTCCATATAGACGTTATGCAACTATCCTATTCCTCATATTTCGCTGCTGTTTTTATTCTTCCAATGGTAAACCTCTCTCTTGAAGCACATAGCAACTCTCGAACTATCTTCTACTGCCTATACTATGGTTGGTAATACTTTGCAGCAATGCATCTATCGAAAAATACAATTCTACATTATGTGAGTTGTCAGAATCAAACAAGATATTGTAGCAATGTGTGAAAAGGAATCTTCTGAAAATCTTACCTTAGAATCTTTTCTTATAATGTTTGAAACTAAAAACTTAAACTAAAGAGTTCTCCATATTTGTTACGCAACACAACACATTCTTCATCAACATAGGTACAAATTTGAAAGCAGCTCAAAATTTAGTTGAGTATCTTTAAAGCGTACAATTTTTTATAAACTAGGCACTGTAACGTTCAAAACTGCTTGACCAAATTATTTTGCCTATTACTCCTTAAATTCGCAGTAATGCTGTCTGACAATTTTCGAAATTCGATTACAATACATAAAGATTATAAGTTATTCGACACTTCTGCAGTTTCGTTTTTATTCTTGCGTAGGAATTGAATTTTCAAATATCTCTTTTTTCAAATGTAAAACAATATTTGTTGCAAAGAGCCTATTGATACCAGCTGTTCAATTCTGTTAAATGTATTTTTTATCAAAATGTGAAAAAATAGAGTACAAAATATTTTTCTTCCTTAACCTTCTATTAAGCCTAGGGAACAAAAGAATCACGACAGGTATTTTTCATAATGGCCTTAATTTCCCGATTTTTATGTCAAAAAAATCAATAGGACAAATTGAAGCGGAAAAATATGAATAAGGAAAGTTATAGAAAGAATTTTTGAATGATAGCCGCCTTTTGAATGGCAGTCATTTTTGAGAGAATGCATGCTCTCTCTGACACTATGCTTACTTCATCAAATTAATTAAAAAGTATGACAGGTGATGCATAGGCCGTATTTACAGTAACAGCTTTAAAGCCATAAAGGCGCGTGCCTGGGTGTACCTATCATATGTTATGATATGTGCCTTTGTACTGCTTTATTCAATATCAGACAAGTTACACGTGTCTTCACCGATAAGCATTAATTTTGACATATTTTCATGCGCATTTTAATTGCCTATTACATGTGGCAGTATTGTTATTCTCTTGTAGCATATTGAAAAAGTCAAACGCAAAGTGTAGACAAATTCTTTGCTTGAAAGTCTTTTTTTATTGTAAATTTTCAATTTAGATTAGAAACAATTGCTACTCGACATCATCGAAACATGTCCTAACAATGCTGTTTGGCTTTCTTGGGAATGCGACAATTCCTTCTGCTTTTTCAGTGGGCGCTATGAAAACCTATTTCTTACTTTTAATCAAACAACTGAGCATGCAAAAATTTACCAATTGGTCATATTTTCAAATTTATTATGCATTAAGCCTAACAAATAACGGGTATCATATTCATTTTTTGCATAACCTAGCTACGTTTTATATATACCACCCTCCAAGTATTGACATAACGAAGTAAATCAAAAATTAGAATGCAAGCTGAATGCAACTTAAATGAGTTTTGAACTTTTTGCTTCTTCTCAAAAGATTTTAACAAATTTTAAAGGAGAGCGGAAAGTATCAAATGAGAGTCAATTTTTATAAAGTACAATGATATTATGCAAAGAGACAGGAACATTTTTGCAGCAACTGAACAGGAGATTTTAAAATTAACTTATGATGAAACCATCCGGTATCAATATTTAATCTGTTTTGCTTGATTTGCGCACAAGTCGGTTAGAAAATGACTTTGACAATGGAATTCTTTTTCAAAAAAGTTACAGGTAGTCTCTTGAACTGCAATGACTCCTCTGAATGTTTAGTCGTTGGTTCAATAACTCGCCTTCTTTAATGGCACGCTAACAAACATTCTATTGATACGTTTGCAAAAACAACGTCATATGAAAACACGTTGACATTTGAAAGGGCATTTCATTTCGTTTCTTTCTTTTGTCTCACTATTCGTTTGTGCATACATGAAAATGAAAACATTTCCAGACATTTGAGACCATGATACAATTTAATCAAGAGTTGCTTAGACTTCGAAACAGGTGCTTTGTCTTAAAGACAGTTGGTTCAATTTCCTTTTAGAACCATTTCTAAGAAGTCTCCAATTGAAATCTATTAACTCCTAAATATGTTACAGGAAGACTCCAATATTTTTCACGTTTATTGAATTTATTTTAGTAAGTGAATAGCAACAGAAGTGATGAGGCATTGATTACAATCCAGGTTTGATAGATTTTGTCTGTTACATTAAGCATTATTCTTTGCAATAAATGCATCTTATCAAGGATATTTTGATCACTCTGTTCTCTATTTGGGTGGTATTTCATTCATATATAACCATGCTGAAAGGAACATGATCCTGTTATAACACAACGACTCAATAAGAAGCTTTTAATTCATACATTATTAGGATCTTTTTATATTTCTATATAAGCTTGGGCATAAACTTTCGTTAATTAGAGCTCTTCAGCACTGATATTGCTTTAGACTTTCTTTATCTTGTCAACAGTTGTTGGGATAGCAAATAAACGGAATATATTTTAGATGAGTATGCATAAGCCCAATGTGCAATATGTAAAATTAAGGCAGTCATATGATGCCAAGCACTTCTATCAAAGAGTGCATCTGAAAGTTTTAAGGTACCCGTTATAAGAACGTAATAGCAGAGATAAAGAATGTCAACATTTTTATTTCTTTGTGCTTGAGAATTTCGCCTGTAAAAAGTTTTTGAAATTGCATTTCAATTTGATGTTAAGAAAAGCTACATTCGAGAGCATCTTCTATTTGTTTGATATCATATTATCTGGTTACTAAGTCTTTTTTACCTGGCTAGAAGGCGAGATTTGGTCTCCTATAAACAATTTGCTTGTAAATAGATGGCCGCAAATGTGTTGCAACGCTACAGGCGTGAGTAACGACAGTTGCTTTTCATGCCTGCCTCACTCTCTGTGAATTTCTTCGCTGGTTCAAAGGAATAACCAAGCCCGTGATCTCGCAAGTGCAACTAAGAAACTCAGCGCTAGCAACAGCTTTTGCCATCTCGACATGGGGAGATTAAATTGTCGCATGAACCTAATAGAAAAAATTCGTGGGAAGTCCAATCTTTTCTTAATTCAATTTACACAGTCGTTTCTCAAGATTTTATTAAATCACTTTTAACTTTTGCCAATATATTAACAACGTACGCAATACTCATTTTAGAAACTCTTACATTACCAACATAAAGCTGTCTTTTGTAGAGTCCGACTCACAAGATACGGTCAGTCACCGTGTTTCTTCTGTTGTTTAGGACACTGTGATTTATTGTGACTAATGCGTGCGGAATCGGCGCAATGTGACGAGATCCCATGGCTTTTTTATGAGATTTCATCATCTGGCTTGTCTTTGCGTTGATAATCTGTGCAGTTTTGAAATTTAACTTATTTTTCTCACCAAGGTCACTGCATGTTTCCTTGTAAAAGTCTTGCAATATCTATAAGGATGTAAAAACAACACATATCAGATTTCGTATCAATATTCAAACAGTCCTTGTCAAATAACTCTTTCTTCGAGCATTTGCTATTCTTCTGTTTGAAGGATTATATTGCTATCACAGCATTCAACCTTTCTGCCAGCCTTATCATAATTCAGCTTTTGCATTACATTTGTGAAATTTGCTTTAATATGTTTTCCATGTTTCCTTAAAAGTTTTCAACACTTTTGTCCTTTATGAGCTTTGCGAAGACTAATTTTGATGAAATTCTTAGCAAGTATTGAACTAACTTACATCTTCTATATCACAATTTGTGAAACATTTGACTTGAAATTTATTCTCAAGCAACTTTTCATGAAGTTCTTATCCTGCACCTGGGAATCATGACATGGACTGTATTCCTGAAAAAGTGTATGCTATGTTGCAGCTAAAAACAGCCTACAAGTGTATTTACAATTCCAGAGTAAACAAATTGCTAGTTAGACAAAAAGTCAAGATCGTCAGAATAACTAGGATAGAGCAATTTAACACATGACACTGTATTGACTGCCTGGTTTTTCTCAGGAATCTTCAGGTGTATGTTATGAATCTTTTCGTATTAGCCTCTTCATCAGCTGTAGGGTTGCTTTATCAGGCATCATGTAATCAGAATTTTAGGCTTCTATGCTGCTTTTCATTAAAGCCTTCTTGATTTTCAATTGTGCTTTTCTTTTCCCATTAGGTCTTTTTTACATGCTGTATTGCAAGCACCCGCGTTTGTTCCATAAAGAAGCTGTTCGCGTCTCATCTCTTCTGTTCTCTTCTGTTCTCTTCTGTTCTCTTCTGTTCTCTTCTGCTCTCTTCTGTTCTCTTCTACTCTCTTCTGTTCTCTTCTGCTTTCTTCTGTTCTCTTCTGTTCTCTTCTGTTCTCTTAAGTTCTCTTCTGTTCTCTTCTGTTCTCGTCTGTTCTCTTCTGTTCACTTCTGTTCTCTTCTGTTCTCTTCTGTTCTCTTCTGTTCTCTTCTGTTCTCTTCTTTTCTCTTCTTTTCTTTTCTTTTCTCTTCTTTTCTCTTCTTTTCTCTTCTTTTCTCTTCTACTCTATTCTGTTCTCTTCTAATCTATTCTGTTCTCTTCTTTATATTTTTTACATAAAGCTTATTTGCTTCCTTCCATGCCTTCCCTTCCTTCAAATTTCATATTTTTCTTAGATACATACTTTAAACCTATTTCTCTTGGTTTCTATTAAATCTATTTTTCCTTTTAAATCGCTAATAGCATTGCATCTTTCCTTAAGATGAAGTTGATACAATATGTTTTTAGAGTCCTTCCTGGCAATTTTCTTCTTGGCTCTGGCTAGCTTTTTTTCTTTCGAATCAAGACTTTTTCCCTTTTCTCCTCGTTATATCGAAAAAGGACGTTATCTTTTCTTCATTTACCTTGCGGATAACAAAATGTTGTCTTGTGATAGAGCTTTGTAGAGCTTCCGGAGTTTTTCTACTAGTTGTACCCCCTTGGACAATCTTGTTATCATATTTTTATTGGCTGAAAATAAGATCAGCAAGCTACGGCTGGTTGTTTCAATACCTTTTGGCACGTACTTTTGGCTTGATTTCAGGAAATAGTACATTCCTTCACTGAATTTTGATACCAGTTAAAGAATATTCCTTATTCCTTTTTAAATAGCTGCTTCCTGTGAATAATAGCATTGGTCTTTCACGCTAAGACATTTTTAATGCAAAAATAAATTATTTGCCATTAAAGATCAAACTGTGTCAAGTTGCAAATTAACCTCCAAAGGTGTATCCGCTTGGTAATTGATACATCTGCATACAGCCGCTCTTCTGCTCCAACTATTGACTTCAACTTACGTCTTTTATAAAATTGACTTATCTAATGGTCATTAACCTTGGGATAAAATTACAACCTTTCAGCATATGAGTAACTTTTTTACGATTAAAGTTACCAAAATGTTTAGATTTAATGATGTCTCTTTTTACCTTTCTACATAAATTAGATCTTTCAACTAACAAATGATCTTTTCATCTTATCTTTGGCTTAATTGTTGCTATTTGTGCTCAGTTATTTTTATTCACTTGAACTAAATTCAGTTGTACATATAAGTCATGTATGTTTACTAGCCACAATCTTACATTAAGAGCTAACTGAATTGCAATCCTCACCTGGCTACTGAGGTGGTAAATTTGATAGCTGTTGGCTCAGTCCTAGCCCTTTGGACATTACCCAAATCGAAGCAAGCCTGAATATTGTCTTTAAGTCATTGCTTGGCAAAATTGCATAGCACCGTAATTATCTTATGATCAGGTACACCGCAAAGACCATGTTTCTCGGCGCTTTGTATTGCAAGTTTAGATTTGCTAGCCTATATAGAATTAATTTGGTGAATTTAGTCACTTGTTTTAATAGTCCTATTAATGCTTCTTTAACAGATTGGCAAATGATTCCGTCACAATGGGAATACTACAGGCATTACAGAGGCCATTTATGTAACTTGTGGAAAGTCCACTCAGCTATCTGCATCTAATATCATTTTAAAATATCAAAGTAACAAAGATTCATAATGTTTCTTCAAATTGGCTTATTTATAAGACAAGGTGGGATTAGCACACCCAATCATAATATAATTTTACAGGAAACCCAGTATTGTGTCCTGGGGTACTCCAGGATCCAAATTTTTATTCATAATCTATGTACAATATAACTGTCTCAGAAAGCCCTTCAATTCAGTTTTAATTTAATCATTTGATGGATATCCAGTACTGAGGAGAGGGGGTCAGGGGGGTCACTGCCGACTTTAATCTTGGATTTTTCAAATTATTTGAATAGTGAAATTTTTTTGGTGCAGCATATCAGTTTTGATCAATTTTGGTATTTAAACGTTTTTAACTTCCTAAGATTTTTTTTAAATGTAAAGAACTGCATATTTTATAGTTAAGAAATATGCATGCATTATGACGATAGTATACCAGTAATAGTTAAACTATATTGAAAAGGCTATTCATAGCCACCATCACAATTTCAACAACCAAAATAGCTGCAACCATCGTCTCAAAAAAATTTCCCCGGACCCCTTAGAAGGGTCGCCTCCGGTGTGTCTTGCTTTTATCTTACTTTCTGACCCGGGGCCTAGAAATCCTTTCCCGCGGCCCTGTGGATACCCCACACGATGAGATTCCATTGATATCAGCGTTTTTGTAAGAAAGAAATACGCCTGGCAATTTGCCAATTTAAAAGTTTTTGTAATCCTGCGTTGCTCTCTATAACGCCAGGTTTAGTCAGACCACAAATATTTTCGTTATCTCTTTTTTTTGTAATAGCAGATCCTCGTTTGGTGGGATTCAGGCAGATATTTCCATTGAATTGAATCGCTTTCCAGAATAAACAAGATAGCTTTGATTGAGATGAATTGAAAGATGACTCTGTGCCCAGGAGGTACTTCCCCTATAGTTTTTAGAGTGCGTGAAACTATACCAAAATGGTTCTATTCTCTTATTTTCTTTAAAAAATACCTCCTCATGTAGCCATTCACATTCTCATATACCCTCATACACACACGTATCCACGCCATAGAAGAAATAAGCCTTTCCTAACCTCTTTTTTCCAAGAATATGCCCTATACAGTGTGACACCCGTATGTTCCGATCATATTGATATTCTTTCTTGGCTTCTGCATTTAGAATAAAATTTAGTACATTCTGGTGGAAGGCTTTTTGCTTGCAAAGTGCAATGGTCGTGAGTGGTTTTGCGAAGAGGCATTCTGATTAGAAACGGTCACGTGTAGCCTACAGCAAGCAGATCAATGGTATATAATAGATACAAAGTACATCTTGTGAAATCCCGTTGATCTCTATCCGTTTGTTGTTTGTAGGTGAGAATGTCTCTAAGCTCCATGCTTTGCAACTTTTCCATCTTAATCTGTTTTGATACTGCATAGTAATAACACGCGGAGGGCCCTCGCTGGCCGGCATTCTTTTTTGGATAGGAAATCTTCTGTCCTGTTTTCCTACGTTGGATTCGGTGAATATAAATGTGGTTTTCATGTATCCCTGTAAGCTTTAGTTTATCAACCATTAAACACTCTTGTTTTAGTTGGATTTTGTCAGGAATTTTGCAGCCTTTAAATAGAAAACTCAATCTTTCTGTATAGATAAGTCGTAACATACATGAATTGCTAGACACCCTGTGCTTAGAGGCAACGCGTGACATGGCTCAAAGTATAACCAGGAATTGCAGCATTTTTTGTTTCGCGCTCTACTTGGTTCGTTTGGTTCTATTATTAATGTTTCTGGCACATTGAAAGTTGCCTTAAAAAGCAACAAGTGTAACTAAAATGAGCTGTTGTGTTTTAAGTCATCTAAAAAGTCATCATTTTACCATTTCCAGCAAAGCACACTGCTTTTACAATTTTTATAACTTTGTCTATCAGATCATGGCATTGTTGATAGGTGTAATAGTCCAAAAGTAGTTTAATTTTGGGTGTTGCTAACTTTGGCAAGCACTGATAAAGCGTTGTGGTACAGCCAAACAGCAGCTGTACCCACTGACACAAAATTTTGTACAAGCTGTCTAAATTAATCGAAGTAAAATATTTGTACTGTAAATAACACTGTAGTGTTATCAGTTTTCGAAAAAAGTCATTTTAACTTTTTCTGAACACTAGTGTCATTGCCTGGTAAAATTATTCCATATTGTTCAACGAGAACTACGTAGGTCTAGGTATTCAACTAAATTGTTTATCATTTGTTTGTATGTAAATCAGGGGTGGGCAACCTACTGCCCGCCAGCAATTTTTAGCGACCCTCAGACCTCCAGAATGGAATGTTCAACGAACAAAAAACAAAAAATATTTTCAATCAACGTGAAATATTTCGTCTCTCTAATATTGAAGTTCATTCCCAGGTGAAAGACCTCAACAAGCATTTGTATCTGGAAGCAGCTTTTCTCGCAAATGAAGTTAATCAGCTATAAATTTTCAAAAATTTAGACAAACACGTGTATTTAGTTACATGTTTCTGTAGTGGCTTTGACCTGATTTTGACAAGCTTGCTATAGCACTAGAAGGAGAATAGCTTCATTGCTAGTATAGGACAGTACTTACTTGTAGCCCTTCCAGGCCCGACCCGCTCTTCCATGGAACAAAGTGTTATAAATTTGGCTCCCATGTTGAAAAGGTTGCCCGTCCCTGACCTAGACAGTAACAAAAATGTTGTTTGGTCTTCATGTCTCTTTTGATAGGTGTTTGTTTGTCATTTTTGCATATTTTCCTCGGAACTTGACGCTCTTGTTCACAATTTAGTACTGGACCCATTTTCTACTGAAAGCATCACAGTTCATCATCCACCATTTTCATAATGCGTATCCTCCAGTTGCAATGGCGGCACCAGCCACTAGGCTCTGGGGGGACAAAAAAATAGGCCACACCCTTTAAAACATTACCCATCCCCAAACATTTTATCATCAAATTTAGACGAAATTGCCTGTTGCGAGATAAATTCACAAAGCTAAAATTGAATTTTTTCATACCTTAATATTGGAAAGTTTACAAAGAATTATCATGAATATTTCTGTTTGCGTTACTCTTGAGTAGATGCAGCCTTTTTGTATGATACAGACATCGACGCTTGACAAAGCAAAGTCGAATGAATAGAGGCTCTTGCATTTAATCTTCTCAATGGCTTAGATAGCTGAAAAGTAGTTACTTTAGCGGGCATGTATTTGGAAAAGAATAGTACGTTTCTTTTACAACCCGATTATTGTATCAGTAGTTAGAATGCTTTGACTGCCTAGAGAGCGGCAACATAATTTAAGAATGTGTGTTTGTAGGAACGTCTCTTTTATTTGGGGTCACATTTTTCACAGGTCAACTTATACCCTTGGCTTTGTTACCACAGAAAGGCAATGTTGCATTTAGAAATGACAAGTACAAATGTAGCCGTATATTTAATTTGTACAAGTCAAAATTCCTTGATGCCATTGTGCGCGTGCCTCTGTGCAACAAGCCGCTCGCAGTACATTTGGGCATAGCTTGTAATATCAATAGTATCGCATAGCAGCTAACAAAGAGGCCAGAATAGGTCATCGTATCAACAAGGCAAATTAAGCACCGCTAACTCACTAATACTCTAGTCGCAATAACACACTGAATCGCATAGGCAGCTTTCATAATATTTAGTATATTGATTTACGAAACAAAACTCGGCTAAATTTACTAGGAGATTAAACAAATATTGTTATTGAAAATATCTCTTTATTTCATCTAGGATATTACCACGACATTGAGAGAACAAAAAGACTTGACCTCTGGTCGCGGCAAAAGAGCGCACCGAGCCTTGTTCCCCGTGTGTGTCTCAATCCACAAACGGTTCTGCAGCAGTGTTCAGAGACAATTGACCGCAAAAACTACAGACTGGTTTTCAACCGGCCAACACTTTTTAGCTGCAAGGAAAACGGAGGCAAAGTGGGCGATCGAGCCTTGTTGCAGCACCTGAACGGCTGTGAGAAGATTAAGCTGTTCAGCCATTGCTGCCCAGTTGTAGCCACAGGGATCCTAGATGAATCTTTCCACCGCTCGCCTATACAGGTCAGGGCCGTGTTATAAATCCACGTGACTCCTTTGACGAGGTTACATCTATAGTTGCAGCCTAGCGCGCGGACATAGAAAATCGTTCCACTTGGTGACCACTGCAAGATCGAAGCTTACTCTCTAGCTACGTTGATGATTGCCTGCATTGTACCATAAGAGACATCAAGCAAGCACACGCAACCTACAAGCCTGTATATCTCATTTCAAATCTGATATTCTTTTAGAGGGCTGCCTTTTTCTTTAGCTAGAGACATTTTTCAAACGGAGTGTAAAATTTTTTAACGTTAACAGCATATTTCAACTTAAGAAGAAATTTAATGGAAATTTAGTCAAAGATACACACTTCAATCGCACATGAAATGTTACAGTAATTTGTTTACTGGCAACAACCTTCATAGAGACTGCTGAGAATTCTGGGTAAAAGCTGCTCGTATTAGCCGACAGATTTAAGTAAAACCATTATTTGTTATCAAAGTCAATTTGGCGAAAATTTTCACCAGACATGGAAGGTCCCAGCTTCATGCACTTTCCAGATTCACCGCCTTCATTACTCTCACCAGAAACAAAGCCACCACGAGCACCAAAATGTGCCAGGTGCCGAAATCATGGAATCGTTTCTTGGCTGAAGGGCCATAAACGAGCATGCCAATGGCGGAACTGTAGATGCAGTAAATGTATCTTGATATCAGAGAGGCAAAAGGTTATGGCTGCACAAGTTGCGCTAAGAAGGCAGCAAGCTCAAGAGGAGATGAACAGTGATGCCAAGCTGCAGGTAAACATTGCCAGCTTCGTCAGAGCGTCGGAGGAAGAGCGACAGAGTCTTGTCAAGCGCAGGATCACACTAGGTACGTAATCGTAATTTGTTGTTACTTAGTTGCAAAATAATGTCTTTCTCGTTTGATTTGATGCTTCGAAAAGTGCTTTTTAGTGCTTTTAAGGTGCATTTGCTTTCGGGAGATTTTGCAACTGTGAACTCTCAGTAGAATAAACAACGGGTTTGTACTCCAGACGATTCGCTATGTTTTTTATAAGGGAAATTAGAAGCTTTTGCTACATCTCTACAAACAGATACCCCCATAGGCTTGGTGGTCTTACAATGCTCATTTGCTGAAGCACTTGCTTGCAATATGCATTGACATATGCAAGTCCTTACAATAAAACAGCATATCCATCTTCAAATCCTTACAAATGTAGATAATTATCTTTACATAAAGCTTTCTTGCCGCCTGTAATTAATTATTTGCCTTCAGTTTGCACTTGTTCTGTTCAAAAAGATAAATATTGTTTGCAAAGATACATTAGATATTTTTCAATTAGTTTTCCACTAAATCTGCAATGTCTTTACAAATGTTTATAATGCTCTAACAGTATTCTAGCTAGTATTGAAGCAAACTGTTTCAAAATCGGGCATAATTTTTTTCAAAGTTCATCTTTCAATCATATGACAAAGACCTTTCCTTTTTTTTGGTATTTCCATATTCATGGAGCAATTTGAAGTGTTAAGCTTAAGTTTGATTTACTTTTAATGACTACAGATTGTTAAAAAGAACATATTTTTACGGGAGAATTTGCTCGTTTTTATTTATTCGATTGTGCGTCGCGTAACAGCAAATCAAATGCGACATTGATTAAACTTACTTTAATCAGCACTTTATTTTTACGGCAATCTAGTTCAAATATGTTGTTTTATTTGAATTAATGCTTGTGCCAATGATTTGGATCTTTTTATTGATGTCTAGCAGTCAGTGTAAGTCAATTTTGTGACTAGGATATTGTCTCTAGTTTGGTAGAGTGAAAGACATTATAACATATACCGAATCATCTTTTATAAATATCTCCGTTGAAAACATGGTTGAAATATGTAACGTAGAACCTTAAGCACAGTATGAAGATATATAGCTCTTTGAGATCTAGATCATAGAAAATTTCTCAAAAAATGCAGTCAGTAAGGTTAGGAATATTTCTTAAGTAAGCTAAACTTGTTGGTAGGTTTATTCGATTGTGTTATGAGATGAAAGACTAGCTTTTTGAGAGATTCATGGAAAAAGCCTATATTTTGAGCAAATGTAAATTGATTACATGAATTTGCCTGAAACAACTAATTATAAACATTCAAAGGAACTTTCACAAAATTCTGGAAAAACCATATTTAATTCTACTGAACATTTTACTAAAGTTATCATTTTCCTGCTGTGATTATTGTAACAAATACGTTCCCATCACTTTTCATGTTGACTTGGCTGCAAAAACTGTAAACCTACAGCAACAAGTGTATTCATAGGCTTCATAAACCAACTCTTGACGCAACTTCAATTAAACTTTGAACCACTATTTATTTCAAGATGCGTTGAATTAAACAAACAAATACATAGAATGGTGTCAGTATTTTTAGCATTCTGGTTCTGTTAGGTTCAGCGTTATAAATATTCACTCGGACACATAAGATAGTGTTTAGCAGTCACAACTTATAAAAACATTTCAATAGAAGTAACACCAAGATTTCATTTGTGTAGGCTTTTTAAATTTACTCAAAACAAGGTTTGTAGCTGTTGATTTGAGTTTAAACAAGTGCATAAGCCAGAATGGGGCTTTTTAGTCACTGTTTTGAATGTAAATTGAGATTTGAACTAGAAAAGACACCTCTAGAAGGTCTCCCTGAATTGGACGAAAAAAACTTCTCTGTTGGCTTGCCAACACTTCTGTGGATTGCATCTTAACCTCTTTTCCTATGTGTAAATCAAGAAAGCTCTCGCTTAACCCTCCTATAGATAGACACATAAATGTGGCATATTTATGACTAAAGCTGCAGATAAAATTTACTCCAGGGCTGGAAGTAGGCTGTGCTGAGGATGGTCACTCTGGTCATTTCTCGGTGTTATTTTTGTTTATCTAAGCGTTACTGAAATTATGATGGTTTTCTGATGGTCATTTCTGCCGCAAGGGTTTCCCTTCTGCATCAAATGCGAACCTTTTCAGTTTGATTTGCTTTATTTCCTCGCCTTATGTTGTTGCTTTTTTCTGTTTCCATTTGCATAATTTCCATGTTTTTGCTTCAATTATGTGATTCATTAGATCTATGCTCGGTGACAATAAATTTACACACGCGTTTAGTTTAAACAAATTTAAGTGTATTTAAGGACAACGTCTATTTCCACTGTCTTATCAAATTCATGCGATGATGTGCAACTTCATCATGCGATGATGTGCAACTTCATCTGTAACAACCTGTTTCGATATTTTCATTTTTGTGACGCAATTTTAAACTGTAAATGATAAAGTCAAATCTATAGTTTTTAATGATATGATATTGTTTTTTCACAGGTATGCCTGAAGGGAATGGTCCATCAATACAAGGGTCAAGCAGCAACGGTTTTGAGTCTCACTTAGAAAATGAACAGAATATGTACGATAACAGAAACTGGCACGAAAGCAAGTCTTCTACGAGAAGCTCGCCGGAGCAGCATGACTATCCCCCGCAACCAGCGCCGCCTTTGCCATTTTCAGCTGCATCCAAGCTTTTCGCCTCCTCTCCATCAGAATCAAGCAAAGACCCTGCCGAAGTCCTTATGAAGATTTTTCCGTATTTAGACCCAGTTGTATTGGGCTCTGTCTTGAAAAATTGTCAAGGTGATTTGCTAAAGGCGGTTGAAATTCTCTCTCCGCATTCCATGACAAGGCTTAGGGAGGTTAAGCCAAATAGTAAGGAACACATAGAAATTCCCCCAGCTACCTTTGCAAGACATCTCTCAGCATTCTCCTCGCCAAATAGAGGCATTGAACAGCCTCCTTGCACTTGCTGCCATAGAAACGGTGTCCGAAAGTTTTCGGACTACATGCCTTCCAATAGAATGGAGATGATGAAATACAACCGCATGATGCATAGGATCACGGATCATGATGTGAGAAAAGCTGACTGTCGAGGTCATGTTAACTATTTCTTGTCACTGCAAGAAAGCAGTGAAAAGTTTGCCAATGATATTCCCCCAAGAAGGCACATAGGCCATGAAAATAATGACAGACTTAGTATTGGAGAGCCAATCTGCTTTGAATGCAAAGCTCCTGCGCGTCCGCAAGACTTATTTTGCCGGGCGTGCGGGGCAAGGATTGCAAAAGCTGTCCAATAAGAGAAAACTGGCCATACTTATGTCCACAAGACCAAACTAAAGCTGAATACAAGAAGCAATCCTTTAAATTTTTTTCTGAATGACTCTCTTTGAAATTCAATCAATACGATCTCCATTAATATATGTAATATGTAAAAATTTAATGTGATGTATCAGTTCATCGTAGTTATAATGAAATAAGCTACAAAAATGTAGAGTATTAATAATGATATTGTAGAATGTAAATAAGCTATAGCTTCTTGGTTTGTGAAAGTTAAATCTAAAAGATTCAGAACGACCTGTTGTTTCAACCAAATCAGCTCTTGTTGCCCCGGTAAAAGTTATGATTTAAACTTCACAGTTAAAACTTATGATAGTACGACTTCATGAGAAATGCTCATGCTATGCCTTCTTTTGTGTTTAATTTCTTTGTATTAAAATTATCTTTAATCATCTTCATTACGAATCTTCACTACGGTCTTAAAATTTTTTTTATGCAAATAACTTTTGGTTAAGCAAGAACATTAGTGATTAAAGGTAAATAAACAAGAGAGCAGCTTCCCTTTTTGTTCTATGGGCGCTTTTAAATGCAAAGATTTATGGTCAGTTATACAGGAATGAAATGAAAATCGATTTATCTTGAGTGATGATTGAATTTGACATTGAACTTTGGAATCATTCAATCGCTCGCCCTTGATGTCTTAGAATTTTTCATTTAATTTGCTATCTCTTTCCTGGTATGTCATGCTCTTTTTGATCAACTCTAAACTTTTTACACGAAATAATTTTGAGTTACAAAGGTGCATGTTTTCAAAAATGCTCAAAACGTTCTCGAAGAATGAAATGGTATTCGATATTCTGATCAAGGTAATACTAGCCAGCTCCAGAAACCTGGTATAGAAAGCATCATGTCAAGGACAATCTTAATTTTTTATGATGGTGAACGAAGAAAGATTAAGCCATGCTACTTTTTGCTACCAATAACTCTGTTCATTACTCTGAATCTTTTAGATATTTTTCTTCAAAAAGTTTTATATTACTTAGTGGACTCGCAATTTTTATGCTTGCCAGACAAATGAATGGAAGATGACGAGAAGAATTTGAACGGCTTTAAGAAATTTGATAACTGTTAGTGTGGTGTCGCATATTATGTTCTGGATTCCATTTATCCACATACTAAAGTCCTGCTGACGCTGTAGAATATGGGTTACACAACTGCGTCGGATCTTCAAGAAGCTTAATGCTTTTCTATAGAATATCTGTTGATTTTATATCTGATGTCCTGCGTTGAGGTTACATTTTATCACATCCAAAAGTAAGATGAATATCGAAACCGTTTATCTTAGGATAATGCTGTTGCATAAATCGAATAATCCGTTTGCAGGAGATTCGGTCTTCTGTAAGCATGTCTGTTTTAAATAGTTAAACAACACTGTATGTTTATCTTGGATAACTTGAGTGATGAACTCATTGAGCGTGAAACACATTAGCAGTGTCTTAAGTTCGCGCATTTTTCAATGAGCATTGTTTGAATCAGTTACACAAAGCCGACGCAAATCATATAATCAGATGTTTCGATTTGTTCTGGTAGATTGTAAATAATGTCTTCAGGCAGTATAGATCAGATTTTAAGCTCACTTTTTGTTCAATTGGTAAAATGATGAATTCAAACCAAACGAGCAAAAGAGAAATTATTTCCACAAAAACATTATATGGGTAGACTTATTGATCAATTTTCGTCACTTTGAAAGAGCCTTATTGAAACCACGTGCAACTACTGCCTGATCCTTGAATATATGACACTTCAAAGGTTAATTGGTCCTATTTCTTTGTTTCCATTTTACTTGACAGATATAGAATTGAACCTGATATGGAAACGATAGAGTTCTCTTGGGTTTAGAATATGAGAGAGCAAGCAATTGTTTAGAATATGATTCAGAAACATGGGCCAGAATTACAGGTTCAAAGCAGATAATACAGTTACGATACTGTACGTGTCTGTAAGAAAAAAGTGACAAAATCTACGTTTTTTTAGCATTGAGTACTTTTTCTTTCTAAAATGTATTTTGATTATGTCAACTATTTACAAAAAATGCTGGTAGACACTTAAAAACTCTTTGTTGGTCGTATCATTTACGATTCGAGAATTAATAATGTACCCAACCCTTTTTTTAGTTTGTTTCTACCTCACAAAAAAGTGCGCTTTTTCATGCAATATAATTATGTACCAACGGAAATCGTGGCAAATTTTTGCTAGAAGATCGAATTTGCTTGAAACTGCCTGGTGTATTCATTTGAAGCAGTTTTTTCTCCGTTTTGGTTTCACCACAATGCCATACAAGTTAAGAAGCCCAACCAAGTTTGCTTGGATTTCGTTGAAATGGCCTGGTTTCAATTACGGTTAAGAACTGGTGTCCACAGCTTTTTATAGTGAAAGATTACACTTTAAGCCTGAAAAAGCCACTGGATCCGTAATAATTCCTCTATATGTTCTCTAAGAAAAAATCCTTTGCGTTCAAAAATCCACATGAAATAAGAAAGCGTCAGGGTTTGAAAGACATTGCTTAGAACAAATAGATTGAACCACAGCTTAATTTTTAGAAGAAGCTTGGCAAACACGGTTATTAAGCCTGCGATAAAGGCTATTCGAAAGGTTTCTCTCTATATCACCTTCACTCTACTTGGCAACATTCTGCGTGCCCTTGGTATGCGCCTCCATAGTGTCGAGACACCATACCACTTGGACTCCCCTTAAGTGTACAAGATCCATTGAAAACATTTCTGTATTGTTCACAGCTCTATTGAAAGGACTTTGGACTGGGCAATGAGACACTCCTACCACAAAAAAGAGCATTTAAATAGCGGATGTAAATGTCTTGGTAAATAATTGTCTTTGGATGAGCTTTTTAACAAAGTTAAAGTGGAACTTTGATACGATTTAGACTTAATGGCCCTCTTCGATCTTCAAATTACATGTAAAATAGGCCATGCACTTGAGTGGGCTTCTAAAGATTTCAATGATTGCAAAAAAGGGACTAAGCAAGAAATTAAGTGACAACGAATGCTTCACGATTTACAAATTGAGGACTAGAAATGAATTAAAAATTACAAATAGTTATTACATTAAAATATTTTTGCAACAAAATCCTTAACAAATAAAAAATATCTAAAACGTAAGTATAATCACTTTGAATATTAAAAATATTGCGTCATCAAAGATTAAGCATTGCTTTTGCATTAAAAAAAGTTTCTAAAACAAAAAATTCATTAAACTTAATGAAACAAAAAAGTCCAAAATTTGCTTGGAACATAAAAGTATAAAAGTCATTACAACAGGGATTTTTAAAAAGTTTCCTGAATTTTTAGAAACCATTGACTTCCTCTTATGCATTCTTTAAAGAGCATTTAAAGAGCTTATGCATTCTTTAAAGAGCATTATCAAGCTAAATTAATTAATTTTCGCAATTTATTTCAGTATGATAAAGCTTTTGTGATTTGTTTCCAGGAATGAGTCATTAACTACTTACTGTAACTTGCACCATTCCAAGTTCTGTTGTAACGGGATGGGAAATGCATCACTGAAATTATAGCTTTTATATATTTTTGCTTTTCAAATGTCTCACGTTAATTCCAATCAGTGAAAAAAATTAAATCTCTGATTTTAGAATGTCATAGCAAAGGTTATGAAATAATCAATCTTAAGAAACTGAAAAAAATCTCGCATATGCTATCGAGTTAAAAGCCTAATTCAACTACTTGATAGAAATACTAAATGGTAAAAATATGAACAATTAAAGAAGATATAGTACTAATCAACATTTCAAAGCTGAAAGTAAATCTACTATCTAATTGAAGAATTATTCAAAAGTAAGTAACACAAATTGCTGCGTTAAGAACTACAACACCCCCATTGTTGTCATTTTCATTCTTTGTCCTCTGTAGAAAAAACTTGGGGTGGGTCACATTTTTAGCCATTTTGACTAAAGTTTTTTATCATTATTCAACACTTAAAAGCCCTGAATCTATTTGCAGATCGACGACGCCACTGTGAAATGGTTGGATCGCAACTTGTTTGCAGGTGACGAAATCAAAGAGGTTTACGGGGAAATCGTAACAACAATAAGCAAAGTCCATCTACAGTATGATCAGGTAAAGTCATAGAATTTTTCCCCATTTCAATAACAACGCGCAAAATTTTCATCACCTTTTTTGCGAATGACCCAGCATAAGAAGTCCAGTTAGCAGGGACAAGTCCCAAGGTCGCGGGCTCTAATGAAGAGCCTATTAATATGGCTTCTGAGTATTTTTCGTTGTCTATTGAAGGTTGCTAAAACATATGATATGGAACTTTTACAAAACTTTGAATTTATTGAAATATTCAATTTCTTCAAAAAAAATCTTCCTGTTTCATGGCAATACATTGCTTCTTAAAAATCCATAAACCTTGTCAGATTTATCTTATTTTTTAATTTCAAACATTTCATTTCCATGCATTTTCAGCATATCTTTGGTGAAGAGCACAAAAGTTATCTCAGTCCCTTAACAGTTGGTCCATTTTTTTATGAACAGCAATGAGCTTTAAAGACATCTATGAGCTAGCACCAAAAGTGTACCTATTAAAGGGAATAATAAACTGTTTTATTTTCTGATGTGACTGAAAGCAGAAAACCAGGGAATAACAACGAATCCTGCACCACATTTAGATTTTTTTTATTTAATATAATTAGATAAAACTCCTGAAGAATTTGCCTTTTCCTGATCAACAAGGAATCAATGCTTATCACACAAAAAAGATGTTTTTGCAATATTCATAGGCAACAGTCTCATAATTGAGACTGTTCAGTCCGCATTTTTTTCAAAACAAGTTTACAATTAGTCAAATAATAAAATGGCAAAATGAGTAAGCAAAGATGGTAGTTCTACAAACGATATACTTAAAAAGTATGTTTCATTACCATCATTATCATCATTACCATCATTCATAGAGTTTCTAAACCTGTTTTTGATGAAATTATTTTGTTTTATAAATTAGGCTAACCAATTACAAATTACCTTTAATTAGAGTGTTTGGAAGGATGTCAAAATATAGCTGAGAATGGAAGAGAATTTATTCTGATTGTCTGGTGCCTCAAGATTTCCAAAATGACAGAAATATGCAAATAATACCCAGTTGGCGATGCCATCCATAAGGCTTTGCTTTTCCACACTATCCTATCATTATTTCTACATATACCCTATACAATATTGTTTTTTACACAATCCGTCCCCAATATCAGAAGATTGTGCCTGATGAAGTTGATATCTGCTGTATCATCTACTGTCTAATGCCAATTTCTGTCTAGGATGACTTTGTGGTTAAATGTCCTCTGAGCCTTGACAACTCAAATGCGAAATCATCACAAACGTCTGAAGGAAAAGAAGCTCGCATTTTTAATAAACAACTGGTAGGGAAAACAGAGCCACCCTGGGGCAAAGAAGGTGCCAGCGACTGGAGAAATTCGTATGTTCAATATTTAACCATTCCTTTTAGGGCTTGTGTTACAATGTTTGCGAAGCATATTCAATTCAAATTAATAAGTACTTTAATAATTTGCACAACAGTTTCAATCATGCATAAAATTTTTAAAGGCCAGCTAAGTTTAGCATTTAAACAAGAAGGTGTTCTTACTCACCAAAACTCTCTTTATACCTAAGCAAAGCTGAAAATGTTGCGTGTAACAGCACACAAGGGTTTTAATAGAGAACTTTGGTCAAGTGTGTAGAATTTTCGCATTTTTGCATGACATATGAAGAGAATTGCCTCTTTATATTCATTTTTAAGTTATTGCTACCTCTATTAGCCCTGTCCCTCTTTTACCAAACTCCATTAATCCTGTCCCAGCGTAACAAAACGATATTAACCCTGCCATTGTGATTCAATGAGAGTATTTCATTTGATTGAATAAATTTGACTATTGGCCAGTGCACTAATGAATGAGCTTGATGTAGCCTTGAATGTTTTCAAACATTTGTTTATGTTTTGTTGTGTAACCATTAGAGAGTTTTATGAGATCTAATGGATATAAATATTGGTTTTTGGTAGATTAAGACCACAGAGAAAGAAAAGGAATATTGTATGAAAATAAACTATCAGAATATTCACAGAACCTGAGCATTGTTGCATCAAGTCGGTGAAAAATGCATTGGTCTGAATTATTCATATTTCACAAGTATTTTCTCATGCCTGACTCATTTTTGTCAATTTACCGTAGACCAAAATTTGACGGTCTTGGAAGGCAAGAAATTCTCAAGGTAATCTGCAATTAATGATAATAAATTGACAAGGATAAACGTGTATTTTTTGCTATGAAAGGGTGATTCATTCCAAACGTTGAATCCACCCAATGGCAATGACATCTCCACCCTGAAACCTTAAGATTAATTTCAATCCTTTGAATTGTATACATTGTTTCGCTGAAATGATCTGTTAGATGGATTATCCAAGGTGGGAACATATTCATGATTTTCAAGGTCTGTTCTTTGCTTTCGTGGGAAAAGTCTTTTATAAGCAGAATCTTTATTTATTTTCCAATAAATTTCTTATTTTTGAACTATTTTATATCATCTTACTTTCCAGTGCATAGACTTATCCTTTTGTATTTTCTGCATTCGAAGAGTCTTAGTACCGCTCAATAAAAATAACTGGTCAGTCAAATCAGATTGTTTATGCTGTTTTTAAAAGAACAGTTATTGCCGAAGTGTTGGAACACTGCCGTCAGTTTTCAAGATCATATTTAGCAAGCCCCATCTTGCCCGCTACACAACGAGAACTTACTGTAAAATGACGGAGATTAAGAAATGCATTTTTTCATTTGCCCAAAAAAATGAACATTAATCTGGGAGGAAGGGACGGAAGTTTTTGGATTGGAGAAAATAAATGAAAAGGATAAGGTCCAGCAAAACCAGGAATTAGCATGTAGCATTTTCCAAGTATTGATCGTCTAGCAAGGACCATAATCGTTAGTTTCTTAATGAAACATATTTAATGCATCTTTTAAGAATAACCTGTGTATGAAGAAGCCTAAATTATTATGATTTTTTCTTGAAATTGTGCCTTTTATTTAATCTTAATATTAACCTTTAATTATATTTACAATTTAATCTGCTTGTACTGCTAATTTTTATAATTCCTACACTGTGAGTAGTCGACTATACCTACATCAACTATAGCTACAGCAACGCTAGTGAAATTTTAAGGCTAAAAATCTTACTTTTATCAATTAGCTTAGAGAAAATGCCAACAAGGAATTGAATTCCCAAGAACTGGATTACAGCCACCAAAACCAGAAAAAGCCTGTCAAATCATATGCTGCCTGGCTTGCTTGGTGGAGATCTACGATGAACAGTGAAGATTTTTATAAATACGTCTCAACAGGGGTAAATGTTTTACTTCTTTTATATCAAACATTCAACATACACAATTGTCTTTAAGGATTTAGTAATCGGTCAAGTTTTTAAGATGCCTGGCTGATACGAACAATCAGTGGGTCGGTACAAAGAATTGGTATTGACAACTTAGTTGTAATACAAGTCAGTGCTTTTTCTAAGCTAACTATATCTGTCAAATGATGGAGTAATATTTATTGGTCAGCCAATTTTATATGCTTACTTTACGAAGAAGAGAAGTACCAGACTATATTTTCCTCCTTTTTTTAAGGAAAATGACTTTTTGACCAAGATATTTCACCTTTACGATTCTGAAGATGAAGATGAGAATGCAGATGGCTCCTCAAATACAATTCAAGAAGACCCTGAAACTTTGGCACGAAGAAGGTATCGTGATGCTTATTTACTCACTAGAATATGAATCACTTAGATACTTATTTCAGTTTTTGTTTTGTTGCATTAAAAAAGCTTTAGTCAAGTAAACAAAGCTATGGTCTGATTTATCACAATTCAGAGCCAGAAAGAATTTTTACACAAACAAAATCTGTTTCTTTCGACTGGTCATTACCCAAAAAATACTTTCCAAGCAATGCTGGTAAATGTATATTACACCTATCTTTCTTCCTTCGTTTATAAAGTCATTGAGGCTACTCTCAAAGTTTTCCATGGTTTTATGAACTTTTGTTTTTTTATCAATTAGGACTATTCATTATTGTGAAATCTTTCTTTCCTGGGCTTTACATGAAAAGGGCTTAGGAATCTCAAACTCATTTATTTTGGATTTCTTATTTGTTTTTAGGTTTTGTAAATATTTCAAATCTTGATTTTTTTGTTGATATCATTAATTTGAGAACTCAAAAACACCTCATGATGGGAGTATTCAGCATTGTATATTAATTTTGGATTCATGAGAACATTATTACATATTCGGTATGGAATTTAAAAGCTTTGTTCTTTTAATGAAAAGAATCTTGCACGGCCTTAGTATATTTAATTTAAGAGATTAATTACAAGGATCATTGTATTAACATTCTTGGATTACATTTTATCATTAATCAACCCCATGGGCGATTCTTGATATTCTTTACAAGGGAAATCTTTGACATTTCGTATATTGACAAAGATTGCTCCAATCAATCAATTATTGAGGCATATATGCGTTATTGTAGAGGATATCGCAAAACAAATGTTATACGAACTTACGGATCTTTTTGTGTTCGATAACATTACCTGATGACGTGAACACGAGTGTCTCCAACATGAGTGCATTGTAGGTGACTTAAGAAGATTTACTGGACTACTTTGCCTGGGAACGTCCTTTCACAAAGTTCCGGTTGGATTTAAAAGCGGAATCAATCAAAATTAAAATTAATTTTTGATGGCATTTCTTCTCTAGCTTTGTCAACCATGTATCTTAGAAATAAAGAAATAAGAGAGTGTTTTTTGAAGTCTACTGTCAAGGACTAGAAAGGGCAAGCATGTCTTGTCCAGGAGTGATTTTAGAAATACGTATCATAGAAATACGAGAGTGCTTCCTGTTTATTCAAAAATTGTGATAATCAAATAATTTAGGGGTTTTTTGCAAGAGGATGTGTCTTTTTCTTGCGAAAGCAGAAACCTCTTTTAAGCTTAGAATGTGGAGATATCTTGCAGCATAATGAACTATTTTTGGCGGCTAAGATGGCTAACAATAGCTTTATAAACAAGAAAACATGTCAGCTAAAGATGACACTCAGAGTTGCAACTTAGAACCGTCCTGCTTAGAAACGAAAGCGAATACACGACCATTTGGCAGACCTGTAAAACAGTAATTTTTATAAGCGAAACATTAAACTCTTGCGTGAAACGTATTTCAGAAAATGAAACGCTGGTTGGGATATCGTAATAGCTTGCCGTGCATAGCATTTTATTTTTTCTTTAATGAAAAACTCAGGGAAGTTTAATGGGCATTTTTCCAAAATTATATGACAGTAAACAATCTACTGGCAGATTTCTACATTGAAAGCTTGTTGTAGTAGTTTCTATCATGTATGAAAAAATGGTAAGCATGCATGTTTTTGTTAGCCCATTGGACATTTTCCCATGTTTATTGGTCATGCTTCTTCTTGTATCATCCCAGACGCTATGAAGAGCGACAAGCAAAACTGCAAGCGGACAAGAGTAAGTACAATGAAGGCTTCTGGAATGTCAATACAATTCTGCTTGGAGGACTTGGAAAAGAGCCTGATTTGGATGGTAAATATTTGAAATTTTTATAAAGAAAGTTTAATGTGTACAACATAGAACGTGCAACTTTGATACAACATCCAAGTAATTGCACTTTAAAGTAAATGCTTAGCTGTTACTTTTTAATTCCTGAAAACATGTTTATTAAAACGTGTTAGAAACATATGAATCAAGGATGGAGGTTTTGAATGGGATTAAAATTTCTGCGATAATCGGATATCTATTGTATAGAAAAAATGGAGGTGGCAGCTCGGAAAGCAAGAAATTCGGGAATTAATTGTCCCTGCTTGATCACTCATAAAGCTCAATTTTCACCATATGTAACAATAAAAATGCTGCCAATCGACAGTCTAAATAACAAGTTATCGCTTGTTTTTATTTTATTGTACTTAAATAAATTTTTCTTATGCGGTTATAAAGTAAAGCGTGAATACTGGAGTTGAAACTTAGAACCGTCCTATTCTACAGAAGAAAGCATGTATAGCTCTGTATTTAGAGAAAAAGTTCTGTATGCAATGTCGTTCAATGTTTTAATACACAATAATTATAATGATGAATATCGGTATGGTTAATCTCAGCTTTTTTCGTGTATAAGTTCTGCTGCTTTCTTTATTGGTCATCTATGAATCAGTCTATTTTTTCATTAAAGAAATTTTAAGATAATACTGATTTTATTAATCTAACTTTGAGATGATTCTGTCTGCTCACTGTCTGCCATCGGAGAGGGCATTGCAACAAAGGATGGAAAAACTAGTGCGTCCGGAAAATCAACGAGAATGTCACAAATATCATCAGAGTTAATGGGTTCAAAGTTAATTAGGCTGGCCAACAGCGTGGCATCTGATTATCTGGTAGGTAATGGGCTGATGAGTAACAAATTTTCTTTTTGTTAACTGTCCTTCAAAGCAAAAACGATATTGACTGATAATTTGACTACATTTTGAGTAATTCTATAGTCATTCGAAAATTGAATTACATAATGGTATCAAGAATTAAAGCTATTTTGTAAGTATTATGTTAGCTTGTTATTTAAGTTATATACCGTAAATCCTCGAATAAACCCCCCTGGGGGCTTATTTAATTTTGATATTCTTGGTTGGGGGCTTATTCGAGGGGGGCTTATACGAGAGGGGGGGGCTTCTAAAATTATTGTAGACATTAAGAAGACATCATTAAAAGACCTCGTTCATTTTAGTAGAAATTTCTTTATGAGCATTCAATTAATTACTACCAAATGTATGAATTTGTTTTGGTAATTAAAAAAAACGCCATAGGCAACCTCAGCTGGCAAAATCATCAAATTGAGAGGTTCAATTTGAGAATTTACGGTAGCAGTAGGGGCTTATTCGAGGGGGGGGGGGCTTGTTAACAATTTGTAGTTCTAGGGTGGGGGCTTATTCGAGGGGGGTGCTTTTTCGAAGGAGAGGGCCAATTCGAGGATTTACGACATTGGTTTTACATAGTAAAATTATCTAAATTTATTACAGTAAAAAATCATATTATCTGTTTTACATTCTAAAATTACATGATTCAATTGGTTTTATATGGTTGTTATTACATCATAACTTGAATTATCTATCTGTTATGCATTAAGTTTTTAAGTTGGCTTGTAGGTATCACAATATTGTTTTATTCTGTGTGCATAACATAGTTAAGTTATTATATTGGTATTTGATTATCTAAAAATTTAATAGGCATTATTTTTTAAGCTATTTCGTAAGCGTGAAATAATTCAGGTATAAATTTGTAAGTTTAATTATAGGCATCAAATACTAAATTTACTTTATAGGTATTAAATTAAAATATTTTGTTCTAGATTCTACATAAGTAGGGGTTTTATTAGTATTACATTATTGAGTTAATTTATTGTTTTATATTACTGTATATAGCTGTTTTAGCATTTTATTATTAAGATATTTTGTAAGCACCAAATGTTTTGGTTATTCATAGGTATACATAATTGAGTCATTTTATTAGTATTACAGTACTATATTATTATATAGGTACTATATGGTTGTGTTGTTTTTAGATATAACATAATTTTGTTATTCTATGGGTAATGTATTAATGATTTATTTTGCAGTTATTACATAATGGAGTTGTTTTTAGGTATTGCATTGTAGAGATATTTGATGGGTATTAAATTATAAAGTTATTTTGTTCGTAAAACATTTCACAGATACATGAATTTCAATCCAATGGAATAATCCAGTCGGTAACCTCACTAGAATTGCCGCGTTCCTGGCATTCAATTACTTATACTGCTTAATATGGAAAGTGAGGTTTATGAAGCTGCGGTATTCATGTACCAAGAAAAAATTGTTGATCATTTTCATCTGATACTATATACAATTTAACTGTTATTCGTCTTTAGCCTCCGCCAGAACTCACGTTGCAAGATCGACTAGAAAGAGTATGGACGATGCTTAAGATGCCTGACAACCTCAGAGTTGATATGGCGATTAAATATAGCATGGACGAGAATGCGCGAAAGTTTTCTGAGGTTAGTAGTATCTTTAAATTGTCTCTATTCTATGTTTACTTATTCAATGGGATTCCGTAAATGAAAATAATAAAAATTCTATCATTGTATTTAATCAATGTAAACAGTCTTCATTTGGTTCATTGACCAAATGAGCAATCCATTTGTCTGTGTTGCTTTGTAACAAAGAATGTAGGGAGATATCTTCATACTACAGCAATCGAAAAGTGTATATTGATGACGTGGAAACGCCTTGGGATAGGCCATCTGAGTAATTGCATTATTTTGCATAAGTGCGATCTGTGCTGGCAGTAATTACCTATGCACTTAGGTTTGTTTCAGAACCCATTCATATGAAATCAAACTACGCTATTAGGAAATTCTGTAAATTTCATCTTTATTTGCTAAAAAGACATTGTATTTTAATTGTTTTTTTATTACGTTTTTGGTATTCGACTAGATAGATAACAATTAAACAATATATTTTAATTATCCACTGTTTTTGGAATTTCAATGTCAACTTTGATAACATGCGATATACCAACACACTATCTTCTACACTTCTTTCAACAAAAGTCTGTATGGATCAAATTCTTGATGAAGTGAAATATTTGTCAATGTATAAGCAGGAAATATTTCCCACGACTTTGTTTCCTGGTGTCAAGCTCAAGAATTTTCTAGTTATTTGCGTAGAATCTCGATGATTAGTAACCTTATACCATAGTTCTTCGTAAAAGCCAGGAAGCTTGTTTGCCAACAACATTGATGTATCCAAAAGTTTCATTTTCCAATGTACTATAATATATGACTGTATGAAAAACTATTAATCAATGCTGCTGCCTTCACCAAGAATAGCTTCGTTCTAGGCCAATCTTTTTCTCTTTTTAGTGTAGTTTACAGGTGTAGTCTCATAACATAAAAAGTCTATATGTAATAAATATGTTACTGAGTAGCAATGTCTATATTTTGTGCACATATGGCTTGAGGTTGTCTAGACTAATAAGGCAGTCGAGAGGACCTCACGATGTTGATATTAAATTTTCCTTATTGAAGTAATTCCTTTGGTATGTGGTGTGTCAAACCAATTAAGCCATTTTGTTTAACTTAACGAGCCCTAGATTACTTTGATGATTAACTGGTTCAGCGTTTAATGGTGGTAATTGATTGAAAAATCTCCGAATGTTTAATGTCTCTGGGGTGTTGCTTCATGCTGCCATTTTAAACCTGGCGAGGTTAACAGACATTAGAGCTAGCGTGAACCGTAGTCTTATTCATTAGCAGTAAAATATATAGCTGGGTGGCTTACTGACAAATAGCAGAAATCAATTCAAACCTGCATTATTAGGTGCCAAAGCGTGAAATTATATCCTTTGTTCAAAATGAATAAGAAACTACTTCAACCAGATATTCTAACAGGGGTTTTGATTAAAAGTTTTAGGCATTCCTTGGAAAGTAAATGCGACCACCTTGTCACTAAACCTGTTAGATCTACGGTAGGTTGGTGATCAACAGGGCCGCGGAGAGAATTTATGGGCCCCGGGTCAGGACAAAAATTAAATCATAAGGCATGCCTAAGGCAGACGCTTCTAGCAGGTATGAGGAATGCTCCCCAGAAATTTTTTAAAAATTACGGTTGCTTAAACTGCTAGGGTGGCTATTTTGGTTACTACAATTGCCATGGTGGCTAAACTGCGCCGGTTTCAATGGTGTAGATAGAGGGGTCAGATGGAGCAAAAACACCACTGTAGAGCTAAACTGCTATTTTTTCGGAAAACCTCTGCTCTTTTAAAAAAATTAACATGGTTGTCTTTGTTTATCTAAATGCTATGTTTTGATGGGAAAAAATTTGTATCTAAATAAACATAAGAATATTCAATATATCAAAAGTTCTTTTTTTAGTTCTGATGTCGTTATGTTATGTTGAAATTTATGAGAAAAATATAATATAAGCTTGTTAGATTTTTGTCGGAAAACCCATGTTTCTCACCCCTCCTGTGAATTAAAAAGAAATAGAGAATTACAGGTACAAAATGATACGTTCAAATAACTGAGAATAATAAACAAGTGGGATAGGCACAAGATTTAGGGATATGTAATGGAAGAGATATAATTTATCACAAGTACATTTAATGCTTTAGGCAACTTTTTATTCTGTTTCCTTCCCTATCGCACTGCTTCATTCAACCTCGCTCTTCTTAAATACAATCGATATACAATGTACGCATCAAATATCATACTTACCATACCTGATCCGCTGTTTGATATAATTTGAGCATAATTGATATCTTAGCACCATAATGCATGAAAATGAAATTTTCTTAGAAATTCTCAAAGTTTAGAAAATGAAAACGTTCAATTCGTTAACTAAATGGGACCACAACTGACACACTGTTGCAAATAGATGCGAATGCCATAGTGCAAATCTGTATGACATACATATTTCCCTGTATGTTGCCCTGCAATCACATTTTTAGTAACATTCAGAAGCTTTTGAACTTCTTGAGCCCTAGCCAACACAGACGAGAAATTCTTAACAAAATTATATTTAACACTGAGGCAGGCAACGACTTCATGGACCTTTGTCATTATTGTCTCTTATATTATGTTATCTTAATGTTGATTGGGAGGCTGGATTATTACTTAGAATTTTTTTTCAATTGAGTTATTATTTATAGGCCCCTAAAACCAAGGACCCCCGGGTCAGTGACCCCCCTGACCCTCCTCTCCTCAGCACTGGTGATCAAGTGAGTGGGTGAAGTACAGAGGATTTCCAGGGGAGGGATCTCTTTTTAAGAACACTTTAGCAGGAGGGGCTATTTAGGAAACCATATAGGAAATTGATATATGGTGGCTGTGTTTGAGCCAGGAGATAGGAAATCACAACTCCAAATATTGAAGTTGGTAAAGTCAAAGCATTTGTTGTTAATAATATTTTTGTCATTATTCAGAACCAAGTCTCTAGCTGTTGCTTTAGAACCGGTTTTAAGATTTTACAACCTAAGCAGGCTGTGGTCAAAAGTTTCTTCACTTCAGCACTGACTTAACATTTTCTATGTTTTTTTTCAAGAAATTGTCAGTTAAGAATCTTTGATACTACAACAATTAAGGCACCATTCAAATTGAAAAATATAATTATTTAAGAATCCGCCGCGCAGTATTTGGCAAATTGGACTATTATTCAGATATGGAAATACCTAGAACAAAAATTCTTTATCATTTTACTTTTACAGCGAACAATTAAAGTTTTATCAAATACTTCAAAATAAATATTCAACCAAATAATTAATTCGTTCACAAATTATGGTTTTTTTATTTTTTGTGAGTATAGGTTGCAACAAGTGACCTGAAGTGTAGCATCTTTTTCCCCATATAAATTTTCTTTATGTTTGATACAATGTTTTGTCGCATTTTATGTCGATACTGGTATTTTTGTCGCATTTTATGTCGATACTGGTATTTTTGTCGCATTTTATGTCGATACTGGTATTTTTTGTCGCATTTTATGTCGATACTGGTATTTTTTTGTCGCATTTTATGTCGATACTGTTATGTCAAATGATAACTCTCTTCTGAGGGTCGTCTCCAGCTTCTTGCATAAGTATCCTGAGCCATTTTTGCACAATTTTAGCGTGCTTACTATAACAGGAAGCGAAACGAAACGACTAGGAAACAAAAAGAAACAACTAGGAGACAAGTGGAAACAAGTAGAAACGATTTGGAAAAACTCTAAATGTGGCACAATTTTATTTATTTATTGAAAATCCTGCCTTAATAGCTATGATAGTAGATGTTCATATGGTATTTTTGTAAGAGGAATTAAACTCTGAAAGCCTGATATGAAATGCCAGCATTGCAAGAGCAAATATCACTGGAATATTGTGATTCACATCGGTCGAAACAAGGCAATTTGAAATCTCAGCTAATAACCAAGCAATATTTTGTTATTTCCCTGAACTGTTTAGGGACTTACCGAAACACTATGGAGGGTTTGGGGTTCGCCCCAACCCCAAAATTTGTTCAAGAAGTAGATTGTCAACCTATACAGCTTGTTCCTCTAGTAAATTAGAGTTTTTTATTTTAGTTTCTGTTACTTCTGCTAAGCAATAGCGTTGTAGAAATATAAGTAAACATTATCACTGGGTTTTCGTCACCTAAGAAATCTAAGACAACAGCGATTGCCGTGGAAAACGACATGACCGAACACACACTTAGGCCACTGCAACGAAGATGACAATGCCTGACAATGCCCACGTGGATTGATAAGCTTGCCTCGTTTTGGAGATCTAATCGTTTCTGCTATCGTTTCATATTGTTTCCTTATCGTTTCTCCTCGTTTAGTTTCGTTTTTTGTTGTTTCATGTTGTTTCCTGTTATAGTAAAAGCGCAATTTTAGTCGATAGTAAATTTAATCTAAGTACATTCCTTGCTTGGTTTCTTAGCCATGCTAACATTTGTTTGTGATAATGTGCTGAGATGTAACGCGTTATAGGGGAAACTAAATTTATCAAATAGGGAGACATTAATCGTAACGAGCCTGCAAATTTAAATTTAACCAAAGCAAATCTGATCTGTACAGTGTAATTGTATCAATATTTATAGCATAATTTCGAACAGTGAACAATTAACATAACTAAATCTTGGCTTCTTCCCCTAGATGGTCCAGTGTTGGGAAATAGCTGCCTCTTGTGTGGTTAAAAGAGAAGAGCTTATATCAGCTCTCGAAAAATTTGAGCGAAATGCTTCCGACCCAAATCGCTTTTTCGGAAAAGGTTTGTTTCTTTGATATTACAAGATGAATTTTTTTGCCATCAGTTTTTTGGTATTAGCAGTCCGAGTAGCATCTTTCTATATTTTTTTATTTCTTTGCTTGTTTTTATTTTAACAAGTGGAATATGACTGCATACCATGTAGCTTTCCATTTTTAAAATTGGATGGAATTACAATTAATTATAAATTCAATCGTCTAAGTAAACAATGTTTAGAAAATTGGTTGTTCATTGCTTTCCTGCTGTTGTTACTTATCTAAACATATAATTACCCAAATAATTATAAATCATAACCAATACCACAAGGAACATGAGAATACGCAGTGGCCTTTAAACCTTTAGATCTGATAAACCATTTACATTAAATCATTCTATTTAAAAATAAAAAAATTACAAGCCAGAATTTGCTAAATAATCATGTGTCACAAAGGCGGAGAATAAAGAGAGAATGATGCAGAAATTACCCAAAGAAATCTCTTAGATGATTCGATAGGATATAGGTTTTTAGAAGATTTTCATTGGCCGTCTTAAAAATTTAGTATTTTACCATTAAACAGAATTATAAAAAGAATGCTTGACATAGGAAAGGCATGACAAATAGAATTTGAGCAAAATTGCTTGTAAGGCATTTAGGAGACCATTTTTTGTAGATTATTAGAATGGCATTGCAACATGAACTGGTCACATTGCTCTATGCTCCAATATTTCGGGTATTTTGTGCCTCAGCTTCATATTTCTGAACGTCGGCTGGTGTGAATCGACATGTTTTAGCCTTATAATTTTGTGTGTGGAACGTTGTTTGAACCAAAGGTTGTGCCTTTGTGTCTTTTGGCATTGCTCCGGACTGAAAATGTTTCATTGTTAAAAGTTGGCTTCGCCGTGAGGTGTTATTAGTTGTTGTAATAGCTTTCAGTGTAGCAGGTAGTTTCATGGGGCTTTATGACTTATGATCTGAAGAATGAATCCCTTCAAAGGTGCCCTTTGCTAGTCAATCTTTTAGTGTTAAACTTGCATCACAAAGTAAAATACGCACAATGTGTCTCAACTTCGTTGGAAACACTATCCTCCTCAGCTCTAATGAATGGAATCAAAAGAAGAGCTTTGTATGATATGATTATAAATTCGAGCCAGTGTGTTATTAAATTCCAAAAAAAAGAAAAGCAAATCTTTGGATCCGATATTTTTAAAGGATTGAATTATTTCATCATATATTAGTTTTAGGATCATTAAAACAGAAAGAGCTGTGAGAACATTTTGTATCTTTCCAAACAAAACTGACACCTGTCCTTGCTTTACGTGCCACGACCATTGATAAGCTACCTGTTTGGATTCAGTTAGCGCTTACATGGCTTAGAAACAGTCTAGGACAAATTAATTCTTCTTCAAGTGTTCCTTGCTGTTGCCAAGACAATGCAACGTACTGGAGATCAACCCCTGTCCTTTCTTCTGTTCCATCTTTGTTTTCGCCACCCGTAATACTATAGAAAATGCCAAAGTTGATGCAAAATTGGCGTCCAAATAAGTAGAGGATTTTAGATGTTAAAAAGGGTGCTTTTGGAAGAATCCAATTACATCTGCGATACTCTTTGTCGCAGACAAATACGCTTCTCTTGAATGTACTCCAGCAAACATGAATGTTTTCTTGTTACTGTGGTCCTGTTTAATTTCAAAATGTCAACGTGACTGGCTGTTGATCAGCTGAACAGAGTTGGGGGTTGATTCTCCACGAGTTTGGAGACATGCAAGAGACTTTTATTCATCTGATTTCGTACGAAAAATAGAGATCTTATTGGAGAACAACGATTTTAATACGTCAGAAATGAGGTACCTACAAATGGAACTATTTACATCAAGAGTGCAAAACGAAAATTGTTAGGCCATGCCCTTTTTACTGTTCAAAAGGCCTTTTGCCAACAAGCAACGCCTGCGCTATCAATAGTAAATGTTCATGACTTACGTTTGTTTGAGAGATGTCAATTTTAAAATCAAAGAACTAGAACCATGTCACAAACAATATTACCTTTGAGGTTTCCGTCCTGCCAAGAACTTTGAAAGATATGCACCCCTAGCCCCCTCTCTCTACCCCACGGCTCTGACTTTGATATGCCTGCGTCATTTTTAGTAAAGGAGAATCCCCTTGATTGGCTGAGAACACAAACTGCAGTGTCAGATAAAGACGATATGGCGAATTGGAAACATTGATGCGACTCTAGCAAACATTATGCAATTTTGCATCTTGGGTGGCTTTGATTATTGCAACGTTTCCTAAATTAGAGAAAAAGATAGCTTATACTTCCTTGATAGGTTAGTCTTGTTATGTGGCAATGATAAATTAAAGGAAAGCTGTAAATTGTATAAAGCCCACGTTTGTATCATAAGTATATCATATAACTTCTGTGATACCAGTATATCATATAGCTTCAATCCAAATACCCTTAGGGCCCTGTGATATTCAACCCACTGCTTGTTTGATAATTCATTTCAACGTATGAAACATGCAGGAAGAAGGATCGACAACATCGGAGAAACCTCAGCAAAGCAGAGTGAGCATTAGGATTGTTGGCCTTGGAAAAGGGGAAAGTTATTGGGCCAGCAGCGATGGTACTGCTGTAATATAAGCTTGGAACTTTTCATTGTGATTTACCATCTCTAATGAAAATGAACCAAACTGGAGGTATTTGTGTTACCAGTCAGAAGGTAGACAGCTTTGAGGCCCTTTGAGACTAACGTATAAAGGGTTACATGAGTTATATGTTTCGTATGTACCTAGAAACGGCAACTTTTGCAGAAACACTGGTAAATATTTGATGAAATAAGCATTTGTCGTTTGCTGCACTACTTAATCTGTTGACAGTAGCTTATTCTTATTTAGAAAGTAATCTTAATCCCGCACTTTGAAATCCCACCGGCATTATTAGTCGTAAAACAGGCGCGATCTAATTCATTTTGACAGATCAGCATTCCCATGAACCACTGCGCTCTTGATTTAAATTCAGACTCACTGTCCCTGATTTACTGTAACGATCATGCGCTAACTAGACAGTGTGATAATCCCTGCTCAAAATACAGCCATATTCTGTTGCAAATAAAATTGTTCCTTGATTCTTGCCTAAGGATAATCCATTGAGCCATTATTATCACAACCAAATCGCCAAGATGTTCTTCTATTGCTGGGTCGGATTACCTTAAATCCAAACTGTTTCACCAGACCCCATGACTAGCCAAAGAAATTCTGTGCCAAAGCTGTTGCAAATAAGTCGCTATCCTTTCATCTTTTTTCTCTTAGATCTTGAAAATATAATAGCATTGGAGGTGGAACTAACTTTGTTTGCTCAACTTTCCTTTCCTAATTCGAAGATTTGTTTCCTAGTTCCTCAGCATTAAGTTGTATTTAAGATGGATTGGTTAAGTCTTTCCATCAAAAGACTTAACACCCACGCGATGTACCATCTTCTTTTCGTTGGCTTTACATCAGGATTTAAATTCCAGCTAGTTATTTCTAGACGTGCATTGAATTGGCTATCTATTACCGTTTAACCAAGAACTGAGGTTTGGATGAAGCGGCTCTTCAGCTAAAGCAAACATCAGAGAAAAGAAAATGTTAGGGGTTTTGGACCTGATGACTCGGGTAACCCTAATTGAATCTGATTGTAACTTGAAGCATAACTGCTTGAGGGTAGCCTAGAGAGCCAGAGGGTAAAGTGAAAAGAAGTCACGCCAGGAATGATGCCGACCATGCAAAGCAATGTGTGCAGGGAACTGGGAGTGTTATTTCGCAACACTTGGTGAATAAATTGCCTTTGCATGAGCATTGCTTTCTTCAAAACATAGGAGAGGCAATGACATATTTTGCCCCAGCAAAAAGAGGGAAATCAGCATTAATGCTCCATGAAAGCCCTTATAATAACAATGGTAATGACTCTATAAATTTTAGCTTCTGTGTGCAAGAAGACACACAACATAATGGTTACGAGGACATGCCCCTGAAGATTCTTAGAAGAGCAGCTAAATCTTAGAATTTTTGAATGTTTTTTGACAGGCAGAATTTGCTAACACCCCTGTACCCTTGACAACAAACTTTGAAATATCAAGCTAGATCCAAGAAAATATAGGTTGAATAAACACTAGAGATGCTATGATTGATATGATACGACACGACACGACACGACACGACACGACACGACACGACACGACACGACATGACATAACATAACACGACATAACACGACATGACACGGCATGACACGGCATAACACGACACATGCTATATGAAAAGGTATGGTTTAGTGTATGGAATGGTATATTATATTGTAATATTGCAGTCACCTATCGAATTTTATAACATCGTCACTCCGTAGTCAAGTTTGTGTTAAGAAGAAGCAACCAGAGTTTTTGTACCTAAAAGTATGACGTGTTTTACAAATTTTTGAAATGCTCGTTGCTAATGTGTATCAAATGCCTTTTCTGTGACGCTAGTTGGGCAGAAAATGTCGGGAATGCTTTGTGCTGTTGTCATGCTCAACTTAGGTTTATTTCTTTGCAGGTTCAAAGCGTTCTTCGCTTGCTCGCCTAGAAGAATCAAAAACAAGAAGTGCGTTACACAGGGTAAGCAATTTCAATTAAGAGTAAACAAACGAATACTTCAACGTGAGTTAATTTCACCAGGGACGTTTGTCTTGTAATTGTTTCGCCCTTCGCTGTTTTTTTGCTATTCGTGATGGTCTCTTGTGACGTGCTTCCTCGCGTATTTCTTGTGTCCATTCTAAAAGTTTATGTGCAATGCATAGCATTTGTATTTCCTTGCTTGAACTAAAGGTATTTAGGGATTCGGCATAGCGTGGGTCGCACTTTTCTTGTTGAAACTTTATTACAAAAGTGCTGTTCAGTCTTTACGAGATGAATGGCTGCGAACTAGGTTTGAAATGATGACTCTCCACCTTTGCGTTCCACTTTACTAGGCTGTTTTTGAAAATGCTTTAGTGCCCGTTGCTTGGTCTTCCATTTGTGCGACTTTATTCGGTACAGGTACGAATTTGTGTGTTCCAACCTCTTACAAAGGTAGTTTTGTCACCTAGTGCTCGTTCTTTCTCCGCAGTTTCTTCCTCTCGAAATATAATTGCAAATTTTCTTCATTTACTTCCACAATCATTTTACGGCTGTTTAGATACACTTGAGGCTTTCCGTCTGCGCTTTTATATTTCTGCTACATTTTTTACCTTAAATAGCCTGTTTTTATATAACTATTTCTCGATATTTAGTGTAAACAATATCTAAAGTTTTTAATTGTGTTTTTATGGCTGGACAGAACAGTTTATTAATATAAAATGCTTCCATCTTTAATTAAATTTGACATATATAATGTCTTGTTTCTTTGAAGAAGCAATTTTTGCCTTTCACTTTGTAAATTAATGTCAGGTTGAGTTTTGCAATTATAAATCTATTGGCTGAAAACTGCTTATTGATTAAAAATATCACAAACAAGATTACAGTTATACTCCATGGCATTGCACATTACTCTAAACTATCTATTGCAACTCAGCTTTTATAAAGATAAACTATAATGTCACCGATAAAAGTGAAAATAGTCTGGCTCTTCAACAGGAATTGCATCGCCTAGATGATACCACTAAACATGCTATTCTCAAAGTACGAAAGATGTTTAAAGATGTCGTGACGTATCAAGTAAGTAACTGAAAGTTATGTTATTTTTGCATGTAGCAGCATTGGCATCATAGTAGAGCCATGGGTGTCGTGGGAGAAGAACAAGTGGTGATTGTCCCATCCCTATCTTTATGCTGGATCTTGTTCGTTTTGTCGGATGATCCACAAACCATATTTCTAGTTTTTGTTGGACAACGGATTTTAATTCTGTTTTTATTCAAAAAATTTTTCTAATAAATGAACATTTTTAGGCCTTACTTAGATAAGCATTGCCTCTTCCATAACTTAAATAAGCAACGCCCGAATTGACGTTTTTACGTCTGCCCCCTCTACAGAATACGACTCTGGGGAGAGCCTTTTTACTTTACTAATGATCTATGCAAAATTCACAAGTGTAACCGATGTGTTGTCGTGGTTCACATTATTTTCCGTAGATTCTTATCACTACATTATCTGCCATATCTCTACTGTTGCCACGAACAACGTTTTGGCTTACTGTACAGAAAATCGTTTGAATCTTAGATCATATTTAGATTATACCAACAGGTCTTGGTTTGTAAAATTTTTAAATTAAAAAACTTTGGTACACAATATCTCGCTTTGATAGGTCAAATTTTCACCTATACATTTTTGTTGATGGTTTGAATTTTTGAAGAGCTATTAAATTTTGTCACATTTGATTCTGCAAGGTCGGTTTCATTTAAAAACTCCGCGGACTGTAGACGACCTTTGAACAGCCATTGGCTCATTTTTAAAATGTAAAATATTTATCTATCTCTATTTGAAAACTTGAATTTAGGTCAAATCGTTTTGTTATGAAAAACGGAGCTCTACAGTCCAAAAAGAGGTTTTGCAAAAAGGAGACTGTGGGCAGCCAAACCTCTCAGTGAAAATACTTTATTTCTTGCAGGGACGACCGTATATCGAGAAAATGAGCTCTGATAAGACTGAAATGTTATATTGGCTACAAGAAGAGAGAAGGGCTGCTGCGTTGGAGCAGTCATTCAATGATCGCAAAGGTAAAACATCTGAACTGCCTCCGATTGCCACTATGACTTTATTGTAAAGTTTATCTTTATATTAGATCCTGTTTATTTATTCTTACAAAGGCGAGGCTCATTTGCCCATGCTTCCTTGTTGATCAACAGTGTCGATGAGCAAAATAGCAAAAAACTTGTCTATCTTGATACAATGTATATTGTAAAAAAACTAGGACACTTTCATTGAGCTTCAAAAATAATCAACAATCTATTTAATATTACACAGTGATATTTTCTTTAATTTTTTGGCTAAACCGTTATAATAACCTAACTTTGTGCAAAATTCGGGTTGATCAAGACCCGACATTTTGCTGAAAGAAGCATGCAAGAACCCAACTCATTCTGTCCCCGAAGCCTATATGCTTATTGCTATTCTTCCACTCACCGTATTATTTCTCTAGTTCCCCTAGCACCTTCCTATTCGTCACTAAGTTTTTTCTAACTCAAAGATCTAAAGGTAAGAAATCTCCAGTGCTGGCAATGCTTTTATTCTTCAGGAAGTTTTTGTGAATGTGGACATATCCGAGCCTTGCCATTGTTTTGTTGCAGACTCTTTGAATCGTCTCAAATATTTTGACATCAATATTTTGCCTCCAAGAATCTTTAATTAAAGCAGCATTTCTTGGTCCATTTTGGTATCGGTTGCCGTCGCCCTTACCTGTACCTTTTGTGATTTGTCTAAACCAACCAATGGAATTGTTGAATACGTTTATGCCCGTTACATCAGTCACCTTTTGAAGCATTGAATCAGACTTAGTTAGAAGATCCTCATAACGAAGAAGGGTATATCGCATTTTACTCTTATATCTCTTCATGTTCTTTTCAATATCATTAACATATCTCAACGTTTCAAGGCATCGACTCTTCATATAAACGTCTGCTCGCCTGGTTCTTATAGTTGTGTTCTTAAAAAACCATCCAAGCTTTAGTTGCGAATGAAGGTACGCCCTAGGATCGCGTACCAATTGCACGACTCTCAAGTCGACACCGAGTTCTTCTGATAACTCTACTAGCATGGCAAGCTTCATATCTGGCAGCCTGAATTCGAGCTCTTTAAACACTGTGTATGATGTTAAGTTACTGCAGAGTTTTAAAATTTTATTGTGGTCGATTCGATACGCTCGTTTTTCGTCAGTAAAAGGTGGTCTTCCGAATGCCGCAGTGCGAGAACGCGACCCGTATTCGTCGTAAATATCCATGTACTTTGCTAGCTGAGTATTTTCTTGGCAAGTAATCAAGCCTTTGAAAAGTTCTCTCGATTCGTTTTTGAAACTCCTAAGCAAACTTTGATTTCTTAGTTCAAAATGTATAACTTTGTTGGACCTCTCGACCACCAATAAGGGTTCGAAAAGATAGAAAGAATTTTTGTCGCGATTAAATAACTCGGCAAAAAAACTGCTTCCAGATCTTCCTTGTGCAAGAATTATAACTAATTTTCGCCTCTGTTTACCGCGTGCACCAGAGGCATGTTCTTCCTCTTTTGACTTCGTTCTGTTTTCAGATAACTGCTTAATACCATTATCTGTAATGTTTCTGGAAATACCGTCCAGCGTCTCTTCCCTTTGTTGATCATCTTTTGTAACCATACGAAGTCCTTTACTGACGATGTCAGACGAAAAACTATATTCCACATCTTTCCCTTTGCCAAAAGCCCCACAAAGATGGTTTAAACAACGCCTTGATTCATGAAAACTTGCGTTTCTTGTGACAAGAAGTATCTCTAATACCAAGCATAGCCCAAGAACACTGAACAACACTTGTAAGAAGTGCTGACGCATCTTTCAGATTCACTGCCCAGCGCCTTTAGACATCGACAACAGGAATAATAGGAACCTTTATACAGGGTAAACCTTGTCAGTAGTGGAAAAGCTGACCTTTCGTAGATTAATTGCTTTCATATAATTTCCAAAGGATATTCTAAATAAATTATATATAATTTGAAGGGATGTAAACTATTGCCACCGGCAGAACATCATAACAAATTCCACGACGGCTATCAGGCTTCTATGGATACAATCGGGAATAAAAAGATGTTTCTTTTTGTTATTTCGACAAAAGAAACGTTACGCTGTCTATCAGCTATCTATCAGCTATCTATCAGCTTTCGACTCAGCTACCAAAAACTCAATTGCAACCAGGGGTGGCACGACTGGGGGGTGTCACACACACACCCCCAAAAGAATTTAAATGGGAAATTTTCAGTAAAATCCGCTCGGTGGAAGAAACGCTTTAGGTATTTCAGAGATCTTCCTGTCATAAAATCAATAAATGATCAAGCCAAGGTAGTTGCTCCGTTGGTTAAATATGATATTCCATGATATGAATGAAGGTAAACAAACTAATGATTTGAAGATTTGTTGTTGGCACTAAATCGAAAAATCCAGCCCCTCTTTAGGTAAAATTGTGCCTTATTTCCATTTCCCCTAATTTTTTCAGTAGAAGCGTCAACTGCAATTCACTATGAGCTCCAGATTTTTTAACATTCAAAAGGCATGCTAAGATGGAAAGAGGGATTTTACTTGATAACCAGTGCTGCTTGTTACCTACCTTTGAAGGTAACTGACGGCATGGTATTAGACCACGGCGAAATTGTACCAGTTGTTTTTTACCTGCTGTTCAATTTTTTTGCAAAAAATGAATTTTCAATAGAATCATTGCTTTAGTAAAATTTGCCTAAGAGAGTGCATTTTCCATGAAACTGGAAGCATCAAAGTTCAAAAATTTTCTAGTCCTTCAGCGGCAACCGTGGTACCGCCTCGGGTAGTAACTATATCCTTTCCCATCCCAATATACAGATTTGACAAAACTATTAGGAAAGTCAGTTATCATCATCTAAAAATAATAATTTGCGAATTATATACAGTTAGATTGACTAAATGTATTGCAGAGGTTTGTGATAGCAACTTAAGAATTTCAGGCAATAATTTTTTAATCAGGTAAATTTGTAGTCCACCCCCTTCAACAAGGCTTGCCTCGCGACGGCCCTGAATGCAATACACTCTTTGTAAACATCCACAGTCTGACATACAGAATCGCTTTATGTTTCTTCTACTACGTGGGCTAATCTCTTGTCTTTTGGTCTTCCTAAAAATCTAAGGAATGGCCAATAAAAGCTTTCAAATAGAGCGTAATTTTGCAAAGATGGAACCAATTGCCTTGACTTAAGATTAAGTCAAAATTTTAAAAACAGTCTCATTCACATGCGGAATTTTTATCACAAACTATTCACATAGCAAATGAATATAGTTTTATAATTCTCTAACTAAATTGATTAAATAATAGAAGATCAATTGCGCCTTGGAAGAATAGTACAAACATGTATAGATACAAATACAATTAATGTTTCTATGATGTTAGCTAAAAATACACACAATAAAACTAAAAAGGTACACTAAAAACAACAGAAACAATTGCAGACGGATCAATACGCCTCTTCTTTGTGAAATACTAGATCTACAGCTTCTAATACGTCCTGTACTATATAGTCAGGCATTGCCATTTCTGGCTCATACTTTGTATCCCTGTGAAGATGGTTTATACCTACTTGAGGCAGGCTTCTTTTCACAGCTGACACACCAGTGTTCACCATTATCGATTCAATGCAGCTCACTTTTCCGTTGGTAATCAGGGAATTACAGAACTCGTCTTCAAGGCATTGCATATGATTGCCTTTCGATCTGGCTAAAAAGTTTTTGTAGATATTTGCACCATATATATCGGTATCGATGTTATCACTACAAAAACAAATGTTCTTTTTAAGACTTTGAAATATCAACAAACCGTTCAAAAAATATACCAAATGACTCAGTGTCAAGGGAAAGGTAGTCTTCGTCGTTCTACAACATGTTTTGACTAATAAGAAAAAATTACTGTTTTTTATAAGACTTTGTCTTTAAAAAGTAAAGTATCTTTCTCTTAAAACAAATAATAAAGCCCATTCAGTTTTCCCGTACGATATTGAATAGAGTACAATATCAAAAATAAGATATTATTTTCTGTTGCTCCCTCTGTTCCCTAATTCTTTAGTTCCACCAAACAAGTGTTGAAATGATAAGCCTATTATGTACCTCACAAGCTCACTGGCTGATTTTAAAATGATCTCTTTGTTTTACTCTTTGTTTAGCAGATAACCAAAATTATTGAATCTAAATGAGCCCCTAACCTAAGTTGTATTTGGCAGCTTTTCATATGATAAACAATGCAAATCACAACAAAGCACTCAATACATCAAAATAACTGCAGGTTTGCATAATGAAAACATACCCAATAACATATATTCTGTCAACTATTGCCTCGTCACCATGGTGATTTTTTGCTTGAGTAGCTAATACTTCTGAAGCAAACTTGTAGGTAAATAAGTTTGGCTTTCCAAGGATTGTTGTGTAAATTAGTTCTCTTCCAGTCAGTTTCTGTAAAATAATGTAGAGGTCATGAAATAAGGCATATTCGAAACTTAGTAACAAAGGGGGGTCATGCCAAGTTCTATATCAATGAGATTCCATTTCCATCGAAGAAGCTTCACACAATTTTTTACTTCTGTATTATGTATTTGGGACATCAAATAAATAAAATACAACTATTGTAAAATGCCATACCTTGGAACAGAAAATTCAATAGATCATTTTTTTATGAATAAAGTATTCCTTGAAAGTGATATGCTAAGGAAAATTTTTAAAATATCATGCTAAATCTGATCTCTGTGATTTTCCTTGGAAGTATTTTGTGTTTTCTGGGTACACCTTCTGCAAGACAATTATAAACAGCTGTTTTGGTAGCACAGCTTGCTTGAAAAGTCAGTGCACCAAGTTCATTGTTTCATGATGGTTTAGAGAGTTTACAGGGAGTGGAATCAAATTTTCATTGCTACGACTTTTTAAGTTTCAATTTCATCAACCAACAATGCATGTTAGAACACTCAAAGTTGATTTGAAAGGTACTTACTCTATATAAAGCTTCAAGACAGCAGAGAAAAGCACCATTGCCAAACCTAGGATGCAAAAGCAGAATTTTTGCTCGCAATTTCTTTGTAAAATTCCATTAAAACTAAAAAACCAAAATTGTTATTCTTAAGGATCATTAAAATGAAATTTAATTGAAATCTTAAACCATATGTAAAAAACAACAATAATGAAAAAGGAATCATACATTTTCAAGGTTTAAAGCTCTTGTCTTGTGGAAGAAATGTATCCAATGATTGAAATAAGCAGCTATAGCTGTCCTGACAGTACTAAAAACTTACAAAGAATCTCACAAGTAGAGAAATTGTAAAATACCTCTGTTACAAATGAAAATATAAATGACATCAAGAGATTATTCTACTGTTAATCCATTCTTTTGGTGCTTCAACATTTTTTAAGTTGCATGAAGTAGAAAATAATGAACATTTGACACATGCAAATTTTAAAAGCTATAAGCAGTTTGTCAACTTTGATTACCTTGGATTTGATGCTTCACTCATCCAAAGGAGATCTGGGTTGACTGCTATCACTGGGATGTTAGTTGCTGGTATCTCTCTCAGATTGTTGTTGGGCATTCCATTTGTTATTAGCAGATCAATTAAAATTTGAAGATGTGTTTCCCAGTGAATTGGTTCACCCATTATAATAATGGCTTTAAAAGAAATAAAGAAATGGCTTTCATTGGTATAAACAAGTTGTTCATCATAGAATGTACAACAACACACTTAATATTGAGGCAAAATATACCCACACACTGCCAACCAGAACCAGGAACATATACAACCAAAGGAGGCAGGGGTAAATGCACCCAAATATTTCTAAAAATAAAAAACTATGCCCTTAAGTAAGATACTTTCCTTTTTTGGGCCCCTTCCTGAAAGAAGATTGCTCCCATGAAGTTGTTGATTTCCATAATACTCAAGCATCATAGAAAATATGAACGAGTGACAACAGCAGGTCAGAGCTTGAACCTGCCATCTGTGAAACTTCACTGCAGTGCTGCTAGTCTTGGACTAGAGTCTTGGTTATCTCGCTCACTTTTTCTTGGTGTACTTTCTGAAACTGTTCTGTAATCATGTTTCTCAAATCATTTATCAATCATCAAGTTGATGACAATTCTGATGTAATCAATATTTAAATCAAGATACTGATTGATAGCCATGTAGCCATGAAACCCTGGGCTAAGTCCAACTTCACCTCAATCAATTTTTGTAATATTTCCTATACCCATGCACAAATTATATTTTATGTATTTCATCATCATCAGGTACCATCTTCTATCAGAAGGTTGGCTACCATAACCCTCCAACTATCCCTATCCTCAGAGCATCGTTTAGCTCTCCCAATGCTCTCACACCTGCTCTATTCCTTAACATTGTCTTCCCATGTTCTTCTTTGTCTTCCCCTGTCTCTTTTCCTGTCAATCATACCTTCCAAAACAAGCCTTGCCAAGAACCCAGATGATTCCCTCATAATGTGGCCAGCAAATCTCATTTTCTTTTCATCATTTCGTTGACAAATACTCTCTGATGTCCAATTGTTTCTAACACGTTTTTGTTGGTTACTCTTTCAGTACAGCTTCTTTTCAGAATTCTATATTCTTAGAAAATATAATTATCTGATAGATTACTGTTAGAATACAACTCTAAGTTCTCAAAGAAGTAGAATACTACCTGATATAATATTTCACCTTCAATCCTGGCTTACAGATATGATGCTTTGATAAAATCTTATATTGAAACATTCACCTTCTCATACTGTGAAATATATTTAATTTACAAGAACTTTGTTTTACCTTCAGTTTTCTTCATATCATGACACCTGTTTGGTGGCTGCAAGATAAAAAGTTCAATCGTTGTTTAAATGTTTAGCTGTTAGGACATCTTCCACAAAACTAACAATTCTAGTTCTCAAAAAGCATTGTAGTTCTATTGTGTATGAACAGTTTTCTTATCAACTGGCAAAGGAACTTTCCTGTCAATTCATCTTCCAATTGTTCTTTGGTATGCATATTCATGAAAGTCTCATGTGACAAACTGCAAAATGGCACAGAAGAGTGGGAGCATGGGAGAAACAGCATACAAAAGTAATTTTCATCTTAAGTTTTCTGCAAAAGTGTTACCCAATTATGGATAAATAGATGAATAATGGTAAAGAACAGTATAAACAGTACAGTTAATCAAACAGGGCAATACATTTCATGTATTTAAAGAATCATAAAATTTCAGTATAGAAATCTTGATATAACTAGAATGTTGCTATTTCAGGAAGCCATCTGTTCCAAAGATTAAATACGTGGATTGAATGAAATGTATAAAAAGCTTCTACTTACAACATGAAACCTTTTCCTTCTGTCATTAACATCTAAAAGTGGGCAAGCTTCACTTATTTGTTCTAGTGTAGAAACATGTTCAAAGCCACATCTTTTAAGGAGTTAAAGATTATTTTATGAAAATGAAGAAAAGTTGATTTAGTAAATCACAACAATATCATAAAAGACTATAGAAACAAATTATGTATTGTAAATTGAAAAGGATATGATTTAGCAATTTCTGATATAGGTCCTTGGCCTGAGACTACAACATGCTTTTGATGCAACTTTTCCATCCACCTCAATGGAGTATGAGCTAATATAACCTGGTCCTTGTTTACCTATGAGCAATAAACAAGACCTAGACATTGAACCATTGAAAAAGCATGGTTATCATTATCATATGTGGTTTCATGATGCTGCAATATAGTTGTTTCTGGGAGGCCCTCAGCTGAAAGCTAACACTAATAGTTAACCTTTTAGATTCACATATTTCAATATCTTGGATATGACCTATTTACATTTAAGTTTTGAAAAAATTAATGTAGAAAGAGCCTTTACATTGTGATGTGTATGCAAATAAAACCTTAACAATTGCAGCTGTGAGAGATCAAACAATGAGCAGGAGGTTACAAACAGTAACAAACATTGACAATTCTTAAATCTGTATGGTTGCATGCTTACATGATAGAAAAATTAATAAATTCATGCTTTCATTAAAATTTGTTTGCTAATTTTCTAAGTGCTGCGTTTATGTCTCTGCATGCTTTAACTAGCCAGGTGCAAGGTTGCACAAGTAAATTTATGTTAAATCTACTGTCATCTCTAAGTAGCAAGATGAGGAGCTATTAAAAGTGTCAATATGTTTAGCTTGAATTTTGTGAATACAAGGTCAGGCTGGGGGTATTTTTAAGTATAGCAGTGAGACTTAAAAAGTTCCCAGTTAATCTTTTTAAATATTTCTTAAACACTTCTTGCAGGAGGCATGGCTTTATATGTAGAGAATTTGGAACTTAATTTATGTAATTCAAATGCTGTGGGGAGATGCTATATCAAATAGGCACTAAAATGATGCATAACAACAAATTATTATATGCTTAGTGTAGTGGCCTCATCACAGGTTGGGCTGGGGTATTTTCTATGAAGTAGATTTTCTAATTTCTCAAAATTTGCTGAAAAACCTTTGGGGGATCATATCAATTCTGATTTTCGCTCTTCCAACAAAGCCCCTATTACAAGAAATGCTTTTTGGGAAGTTGCTTTTCCAAAAACTTCAAAAAGTACATCAAGTATATTAAAAAGGCATTTCCTATGTTTTCTGAGAGTCTGAAGGGCATGTTCAAGGAAATTCTCTTGCCCATGCCAGTCTTTTTAGGCTGGCGATGCCACTTATTCAGTGCTATTTTTAATACAATCGGAATTGTAGCTACATTATCAATGGCTGTCTCGTTATTTAAATCACTTATGCCCATCAGCTTTGCAGAGTTTGTCTAGCAGACAGCTGATATTATGTCCAAAAATGGGGCTACACACTTTAGATTGAGTGTGACATTGTGGCACCCGAGAGAAAATACAGGGGGAAGGTTAACTCCGCCCGTTTCTTGTGTGTATGGCTTGAATATTTGGCATCCCTTGCTGATATTTATACAAGAATTTTTACCAAAGATGAAAAAAAATTTTATAAAGAAAAATTGTTTTAGGGGTTGGTCATGTTTGCTTCTACTGGATATTTTCAAATGAAGGATAATACACAGAACATAAAATTTTCAAAGGTTGCAAAATTTCTTGCAAATTTAGAGCATTCAGTTATTTACTTTCACAGCTGAAGTTTTGTTGTTGTACACCCATAAGAAACTGTTGAAAATGGACCAACTCTGCAAACTAGCCGGCTATAAGAGTGCCAGTTCTCAACTGGTGAGCCTGTACTTAGTGTTCAATTTTTAAATTTACTGAGTAGATATTTGCAAAATTCAAACATGGTAGTTTAGATTGACTACAGCTAAGCAGAACCTTGCTGCTCTATCTTACACCTTGCTTATACCCAGGTAGAGATCAAAACACCAAAATAATTACCGCACCTTCGTGTGAAGCTGAGTGCTAAGCACTCGCGCTTTATGCTCTTCAGTCTCACAGCTCCCATTTGTGAGAAATATTGTAGGGATTCCTGCTTCCATTACTTTTCTTACAGCATTTATCGCTGAAGGAATTACGTGACGCCCCCTTACTAGAACGCCATCAATATCGAATATTAATCCAAAACTGCCTTTCTTTCGCCGCTTGTCCCACTTCTCTGTCTCTCGGAAGAGTAAGTTTGCAGTCTGATCGATAAGAGTTTCCTCTTGCCCATCTTTGCTCCATTTTTCCTGCTGACAGCAACAAGTTTGGCTGGAAAGTGAGGCCTTCTGCTGTGTATTTAGAAGCCGTGAAGCATTAAAGTTCCCATATGTGATTAAAAGAGTAGATCTCGATTTAGATGATTGGTGCTTCCACATTGTCATCCATCGTATTAAGAAAGACTTGCTGCATTTAAAAACATCCATCCTTGTGGCTGTTCAGGCACCGCAGTCCTACGATCTCAGTTAGCCGGCAACAGGCTTGATTGATCAGTCTTTTCAAACGCTGGTATAATTATATCCGCCATTTTGATTATCCAGAGCAGCAACATTCCAACAACATTCGGCACTGGAGGAGAATGTGACGTAAGGAATGTTTTCTTGGAGGATAACCCGAAGGGGGAAGATTATCTATTTTAATTAATATGGTAGACTTCTCTTGAAGTTCGTGAAAAGTTACGGAACCTTAAGCCACTGATATAAAACTGGACTCTTTGCATTGACCTTTATAGTAGCTGGTAACATCATTTTCCTACTTGCATAGTCAATCCAGGGGCGTCATGACGGAAAAAGCTAAGGGCCTGTTCTTCAAGTTCCAACCAAAGTCAGACTATTGTCTAATTAAAAAGGTTTGCGTTTCTACAAATAAAATTTAAAGTTTTCTTAAGCAGCTTTCTCCTACGAGCATCAGGCAAAAGACAATCCCGAAAAGAGAGCAGCCATGCTGTATTTAGAAAATAAACCAGCCAAACTGATTTTCATTCTACAATATGTCAGCAGTTGTTTTAAAATCCATAGTGCACAGTGACGACAACTTTGAAACTGTTACGCCGGTAAGGTTGCCTTCGGTACCAGGGCCTCAAGAAGCCGTAGATACAGAATTGTAGATCGGTGGGGGTGGCGATGAAAGAAAAATAGTTCTGATGCTGGATTGTATGTATTTTTCTTCTAGTGTAAACATCTTCTCTCCTTTGGCCTCTTTAAGTATTTGAAGGGCTAGTGATCGCTGATTGGTCTCACATTATCTTCACCCGCCCCTAGACCATAATTTTCTCTCACCCCTTGAAGGGATGAAAACATCTACCCTCTTTCATCTTTGCTTAACTCCCCGTGCTTGAATTATACAAACGAGTTTACTTAAATTTTTACCTTTATTGTCTTTTTAGATTCACATATTTCAATGTTTTTAATGTGGGGTTACTAGTTGACCCTGCAATGGGAATCGTCTTTCAGTTCTAGCAAATTTCTGTCTGTTTTTTGCCTCCTCCATATCTCTATCTCAACTGACTTTATGATTACCTTCAAACTCTCTTTTATTTTGCTCTTGTGACCGAAAAATCAAGAGTCGTATCAATTCGCATCACCGTGATTATTAGATATAATGAATTGGCCGAATAAATAAGTGTTGCTGTCATGTTTGAAAAGTTTCGTTGGAAAGATTGCATCATGAGAAACTTTTCTTAAGGGCCTTGGACGAGACTGAGTCAGAGACTAAAAACAACTTCTTTTCAATAAATGAAGGTTATATGGCCAACATTCTCTGAAAGTAATGTATCATCTTGAAAGCAGATTTTTTTTAATGATTTTGTTTTTTACATTGCGTTAGTGCATGCTACAACAGAAGCGTTTGGTGACTCCTCGCCATACCCGTTCATCGCCTCTAGATACCAATTGACAAATACTATGTGTCTATGTGCGACTGGAGCTACTGGCCAGAAAAAAGGCTACCCCCTAGCATACTCCATTGTCCCATTAGGTATTGCATCTGAAAATGGTTATGTGCGATCTTGATCTTCCATTACTTTTTGCTTTTCTGACCAAAATTTGCAATGACTGATTGAAACAAATGAACGACCTATGGTTGCTAAGCAACTCCAGCCCTGAATCAACGTGAGCAAATTTAGACAAGTCGTGATGGAAGATCAAGTATTGCCACAAAATATGCTTTTACTATGCTTGGTGTGGTGGCCTTAATACTTCTTTCTAAACTATTTTTAAGGCAGCGTTACTTTGACGTGAAGCAAATCGATGATGGATGGGATATTGAAAAAGGCTATCATGCTGAAGTACTTCATTATAGGAATGCATTCAGGAAAATAGCAAAAAAGACCCAAGACCTACCAGCGCTGATCTTATTTCTGGAAAGCACTTATAAAATTCCGGTGAGCTCTTTCTTCATTCTTGATACCCTGGGTACCAGACTCACTATATAAAATAATAGAGACAAAAACAATCTCTGTTTTGTTTTATTTATAGTCTGGTACCCAGGGTACATTCTTGATTGCCAACAAAGTGTTTTAAATTTCTTGGCTTTTATTCGTTTAGTCTTTTCTAAAATTCTCAGCTCTGATCATGGGGTAATAATTCTAGGATCTTAATGTGCTCTAATGTAAATCTTATCCGATACAATTTACATTTCTTGAAACTGATCCTGACATACATCCAGCTTGACTCATGTACAGCAAATCAATACACAACAGAAACACGGCAGAAAACCTCAAGAGTCTGTACTTGTAGTTGTTTTTGCTTCTACCAAGCTTCCAAAAGTTTTATTTAGGACACTGAGAAGCTGCGTATATCGAACTGAAAATACAGAGGGCTGGCGACTCTTCTCGCTCCAAGTGGAAGTATAGTCATGTCATTGACAGACAGGAATCGCCTGAGATTTATCCGATTCAGCGCTACATTGTCTGACGGATGAGACCAATTTGAATCCAATTAAAAACACAGTCAGCATTTGATTTCATTCAGAAAGAAACAAAAAAGTGATCGAAGGGGATAGTCAAAATTTGCTATGCACAAAAAGTAGAAAATTGCTTAAACGCTCAAAAATTCTACTATAAAGATCCCTTTCTATAAAATCTTGATAAAAATTATTAATTGGCAACAAACGAATTTAACGATGAGTATCATACATCCACAGCAGTCGTCCATTTTATAAAACTTATGGAATTTTAGTTTTAAAATTAAACAAAACAATCTATTTGCGATCAAACGAGTTAAATGACGATTTTTGGACAACAGATAAAAACTAAGTGGTAAGTCATGGAATTTTTAGCAAATGAATAGTTTTTACAAATCAAGATTGAACATCATCTCAAATTCCATGACCCTTTTAAACATACACAATTGGCCTCCCCCCCCCCTGAATAGAAAAAATATTTGCTATTCCAGCTTTTTATCCTTAGTAAATATTTGGAAATACAAACATTTGTTTTTATCTTCTGAGTTAATTGGAGGAAAGGCATTTGAGTAAATAAGTAAAACGCATCAAAGCGTAATAATTAGAAATCTTTAGAAATAGAATTAGAAATAATTAGAAATCAAAGCGTAGAAATCTTTAGTCTTTACACCAAAGTCTTGGAACACTAACGTCACTTTTCAAAGGCAAATTCAGCCAACCCTTTCTCTCCCCAGAAAAAATTTTGATTTACTTTAGAAAAGAGAAAGGGGTTACCGTAAATCCTCCAATGAACGCCCGCAGCGTTTATTTAATTTTCTTACTTTTGATGGGGGCATTTACTAGGAAAGGCGTTTATAAGAGGGAGGGTTTATTTCAAAAATTAAAAAAACTCTTTCATTATGTTAAAAACAAGTACTGTAATCAAATAACAGATACAAAATCATTCTCGTCTTCAATATCCGAATCTGCCGGCTCCATAATGAATGGGTTGATGGGGGCCTTTATTAGAGGGAGGCGTTTAAAAGAAGGGGGCGTTCATTGGAGGACTTATGGTATGGAGCACGCTTTTTCTTGTGGCTGGTAAGATATTTTTCTATACTTTCAACATTGTTCTGGGGGGAAAGGTGTACGGAAATAGTAGTATTTGGGAAAACAAACGAAAAATAGAAAAGCAGAGCGCAAAGTGTTTGGTGTTCCAAGATTTTGGCAGTGATTGTAGGTGAAGCAAAGTATTTCCGGCATCTTAATTGGTTCATGTCCAAATAGCTATTTCCATTTTAAGAACACATCATAAAAATATAAGATCTTTTTACAAAATCGCGAAAGATAATTCTCATAAAGATTGTTCCATAGAATGTAGCGAAGAAACATTCCTTGCAAAATTTTCGAATTCAGAAATATCCCAGGCTTCAAACGACAAGAGTTTGAAAGCATCAAATATCTGTCCCGCCGATCCAAAGGTATTCAGCCGTTCCCTCATTCGGTCCTTTTTTGATTCTATCCGCATCGCTGCAACGACCCTGCTATTGCCAACTTTTTCCAAGCAAGTTACCTCTTTCAAAATGTCTGGTTGTTTTCCTTGTTCATCTTCTAACTGACACAACACTTCCCCAAATACAAACGTGTTCAAGTTATCATGTAATGTCACTGTTTGTGTAGTTGGTTTACGTACGTTGATGACAAGAATATCTCCAACGCTGCGGCCGACCAATAAAGTATTGCCTATAAGCAAGATAGGCCCTAACCGCAATGATGCATCAGAATAAGCCCCTGAGCGCGGTCTGGTGGGAAGATTGAAATGCTCAGCATCGAAATGAAGTCTTCTTGATGATTTTGTCACTCTTCGCTTCTTCTGTGAAAGTAAGAATGATGGCTGAGCTCTTCTTGTTGCCTTAAGTAACAACGGACTAATTGCTAACAAATCAATTGGAGGTTTGGTCTCTTTGGCCTCTACATCTTCAGCACTTTCAGCAATGTCTTCCAGTCCACTGTTATTTTCAGCAATTTTATCTAGTCCACTGCTATCTAACTTTACAGGATCTGCAGGTGCAGTAGCTGGAGACTCTGCAGTCCTTTCAGAAGAACCGTTCTTTACCAGCTGTCCTAAAATGATTCCTTTTGCATTACATGTTATATCGCAGTCAAAAATGTATGTCTTCTGCCTCGTTTCAACATCCCATTGATAGATAATGGTCGAGTTTCTTTCGGCTGTCCAAACCCTTTCTCCATCTGTTACCATATGAGTGACAAGATGACGAGGCAAGGCAAAAACTTTAACCTTCTCCATGAGCTGTAGGTTTTGTGCGTCTACTATTGCCACTGAATTCCCTGAAGCCACCCATAGCTCTTTTCCACCCTTCGTTAACGCTAATTTCTTTGCCGGGCGCCCTTCATTGGCTAAATATATCACCTTCAAAGAAAGCAAGCCTTTTTTAAAACTAAATAGTTTACAGTATAATATCAGCGCAATATCTTAAGATAATAGTTACATTCAAATGCACTTTCAATAATAGGCTGATTATCAAGCCCGTGAAATTCAAGTCTATCAACTGAATGTACAAAATTAATTACAGAAGACCAAACAGAGAAGGTTTTCATAGATAATATCACAATTCTTTCGTGGTTCCCCTGACACCTCTGAATTTTATACTGTTCAAAGCTCTTTTGAAACGAAATTTCTTTACGTGATGAAGTTTTTCTATTTTTTTTGTGGGACCGTTAAACATTGTCGTCGCCCTGAAAAATGTCTAACTTTTAAGAAAACAAGAATTTCTACACCAATATTGATTTTTATTCATATACACAAAAAATTTCCAGTTTTTGTGTACTTTAATCCAACAATCAAGTGTTGGGCTGTAAACATGGTCAACCACAAAATACTAACCGTTTCAAACCACGAATTCTTTTCGCTTGTAATCAAGTCATCGTTTTCTTCTCCATCTTGTGTTGGTTGAGAAGGCCCTGAGACCTCGTACCTGTCAGGTCCATTTTTTTGGAACACAATGAGTGTCCCATTAGCAAGTGACACAAAAACTCTTTCGTGAGGCGCACCTTCTTTTGGCGCCACAAGAATGTCCATAACGGCATCTTTTGTCCCAAACGACCACAAAACGCGAGGAAACTGCCACATATGCATTCCAAAAACTTCAATTTTCAGTCCCTAAGATAAACATAAATATGTAAGTCTTTTGGTTTTCAAACAGATAACGTCTTGGCTACATTCCACATAAATTTAAGACTATACATGGTCAGTGCAATTATAATCGGTTACATAAAAATAAATGATTAATAAGTCTTTCCAATGAATAAGGTTTTCTACCAGAAAGGTTGGCTAAAAGTTTGGCTGTACTATTTTGAAATGATACTTTTGTTATACGCTGTTGACAGAATTACTTTTTCTCACTCAACACAACATTAAAACATGAACTAATTAATACTTCTTTATTGCATGACAGCAAGTAACAAACAATAAAGAAAGATTTTTCATGAGCTGCACGTTTTGTGCTCTGAAGATAAACAGAATATGTTTTATAGCTTATGCAGCAGTATTCATAGCTTATTACCTTGCCTTTTTGATCATGTACTGAACAACGAATGAAATAAGGGAAGCTAATTAGCTGTGATTGAAGAAGCCTTGTTATTTGAAAGATAATAACTACAGTGGAACCCACAGTCGAGCTAATAATCGTTGTAGATATTTTTTCAGCTACAAGGCATTGACGGCAGGAAATGAGTAACAGAACAAAACTATAAGTTGTAGGTAATATAAAATAATGATTCCCTGTTAAGAGACAAAGGTTTGATAAATCTATTTATTGGAGTTGTTGCTTGAGAAGTGAAAAGTGTATTTTCAGCATACCTCTGTCCCGAGCCATATTCGCTGGTTCACCCTGGCAGCACAAAGTACCCTCTGACCAACACATGGTATGTCACTTTCCACGGCACCAGTGTTGGCATTCATGATAATGAATCGTCGCCCTTTGTTCGCGGCACTCCAAATTAGCAATTTGTTGAAATGCTCACCTGTAGCATTTGCCATATTAAAACCTTCCAGAAAAAGAGCAAGCGTTGAATTGTTTTACAAAACATGAAAAAGCCTGCAATAAAAAAGAGCGCAACCCTTTTGGATTTTCAAGTAAGTAAAGCAAAGATGACCCTTCAATCAATGATAAAAGATGCAGTTAGTGAAAGATATGAACAAGACTAAAACAGGGGATAAATCGAGGACCAATCTTGACATATTTCTGTCCTTTCTCTGTTCTGAAAATTTTCACCCTTTATTTGTTGTTGAATAAGATGGTTCGCTTTAGCATGAGTCAAAGTCAAAAGCGATAAAAGAGAGTGCAACGTTACCCATAAAATCTTCTTCAAGTGAAAGTACACAAGTGACATTCTCAAGAGGCTTTTCGCCGACGGCAGGGAAACTGTTGCAAAGGCAAAGGAATTCTGGCCTCTCCATTCTGCGCACAACCTCGACGGCTGATGGCCTAGCCTCTGGCTCACCAACCCAGCAATCCTTAACGAAAATGATTTGGTTGAGTTATCAGTTTAGTTCCATTGATTCGAATGCATGCAAGTTAAGAAAGACAGACTAGCCTCTAGAAATACAAAGTACCCTCTAACAATAGAGCTAGAACTGCCTAGCCGTCTAAAAAATTGCTGTACTAATAAACAATAAAACCATAAAAAGATTCAGGCCTGATTGGATTTAGATACTCTCAAATCAAGAAAAACTAGTAGTTTTAATTCATTGGAACGTTTTTGGAACATTTTCTCCAATTGTTATTTTATGACCATCGGTAATTCTGACCTCAAGGGTTGAAACTTCAGGATTTAACAACCTCTCGATATAACCAACCTTATTGTAAAATCTTTTGCCATCCCCCGCCGTACAATGTTGATTCCTTCATTAGATATGTTTATGCGTCCAATCCTACTTAGATTGTCACAGACAATCATGCTATATTGATCAAGTAACATGGTAGAGGGAAGGGTTGCATCGGTTCGACTGTGAAATCGTTTCAACAGCAATTTTAAACGAATTATCCGCATCTGAACTTACCAGTGCATACGTGAACCGAATATGCAAGTAGATAATAACATACAGTGTAGACCTTCAGAATTCTAGTTTATACAGCGTTTACCATCTGTAGGAAGGATACCCGACAGAATATTTTTATATGGCTGCATTCATTCTCTGAATATTCAATCTGAAAATAATATCCAAATCATTCTCTGAATATTCAATCTGATTATTAGAAATTGATCGATAATAAAGATATAAACAATAAAAGCAAAAGCTGAATTGGCTTTTTGAGAATATAAAAAGAAGAATGAAGCCACCTGCATCAGCCTTTCCATAAAGGGAAGTTGACTAGCAATGTTCACTTTTTGCAAAGATGGCCGAATGCCATTATAGACAGCTTTACGAATTTCAGCACATGTTTTGTGCTCCCTTAGTGGTCTAAATCCACTGATAAGCTCATAAAGCCAGACGCCAAATGAAAATATGTCAACCTAGAAAAAAAACAAAATTAATTTTTGAATAGAAACAATATAAATAAATTCAAATTCAATCAAGATGGAAGGTTCAAAATGTGCCAGATAAAGTTGAGATTTAAATAACTTTAATTTAACCAAGTTGGTTTCTTAGAGCTTTCCTCAGAAGTAGAAATATTCAGTTCTCGAGCTGAGCAAAAATCAGTCCTTATGAAAGCAAACCTTTGATCTGGGTCTTTTTTTAAAAATGTGGAGGATATATGTAATGTTGCAAATACCTTCTCGTCATATGCACAGCCTATTTTTATTTCAGGAGCTTGGAAACCTGGAGTACCACTTTCGCCAACGATACCTTGTGGCGTTGCAAAGCATGATATCCCGTAGTCAGATAATTTCACATTTATTACAGCATCTTCGTCAAGTGACCATACCAAAATATTGTCAGATTTCAAATCACGGTAAACGATCTCCGAATCATGAAGGTACAGAAGAGCATGAGCAACCTTAAAAAACAAATTCAGCAAAATTTAGCATACACCGTAATTCAGTTTACATAGAAGCCACAATATTAAAGTTTCTTAAGCTAGGCCAACTATTTTTTTAAAATAATGCCAGGGCATATATGCATAGGTATAAAAGGTGGAAAACTACGGTTGCACAGAATTGTTCCTTTCAATTACCTGCAAGGCTATCTTATATGTTAGCTTTCGTCCAAGGATACTGCCCATTGTCAAAATGGAATTTGATTCCCACTGCCTTACAAGCTCTCTTTTGTGGTTGATTTCTTCAAGAATACTGTAAAGCCCACCTTTTGGGGCCAACTCTAAGCCAAAGCACAGCGGTATTCTGCAAACTCCAATCATTTTTACAATACAAGGGTGCTGTAGTCGACAGAGCATCGCAACCTGAGATGAAAAATAGTTTTAGACAAATTCCTGTACCAGCCCAGAATTGATGCGGTGACATTTTGTTGTTCTTGTACAATATAGACTTAAATTCAAATCTTACATTTTACAACTCAAAAAGATGATGACTTTATACCTTTTACAAACCCTTGTTACACTGATACAACTATCCTACGCTTAAGAAGGAGAAATCATGATACAATAAATAATGGATTTGAAATTAGCAAACATTTTAGAACAAATTAAAGGCTTTTTGCTTGACACTCCTTAGAGCATAAGTCATCAAAATAAAGATCCGAAAGCTCAAGATGCAAAATATATACCCATTTGTGCTTTTGTCAAAGCCATTTTCAAATTTTGCACCGCCGAAAAAAATTTCAAAATGAAAATAATGGCATGAAATGGAGTCAACGGCACAAAATAATGGCACAAAAATCTATTTAATATAAGTAGGCACTTAAAGATGATGTAGCTGTGTAGTGAACTAAGTTAGACAGACTATTGAAATATCAAAAATTGCATTTACAATAATCAACTGCATTTGTAAAAACTGCGTTGAAAAAATTTAAGGCAGTATAATCGAAAAATGGCCGTTACACAGGTACTAATACCTTCAAAATAAAAGCAAAAAAAGAAGGAATTATACCTCTTGACGAAGCTCCCAGAAAGACCTAACAACCTTCCCATCAATCAAATGGTCGCTAACACTTTGCTCATGTGGCACAAATAGCGATGTGTCACCCTCTCTTGTAGACATTACATCTTGAATGTCTCTGTAGAGTTGATACGGTGAATAATAATATCTTTGCGTAAACTGGCAGTTGTAAATACGGAGTCAAGTGGAGAAAGATAAAAAAATTTGGGGCATAAGCCAGTGTCAGAAGGTTGAGGAAAACAAAGCAAATCACTATAATAACAGAAAGGCAGATTTCAAAAGGAGAAACAAATCTACCCACATGTTAAAAGAACTAATAACGAAAACATATCAGACCTTTTCTGTATTCAGATCATAAGAAAAACTTAGTTAAGCAAAGTGAAAAACAGATCTGAAGTAAATAAATACACTGAAAAGTTTCAAGTTCTAAATGAAAGAGGAGGAACATAGTCGCAAACTACCTTGTTGATTTTGAAGAGTGGAATCTTTTAATTGCTATTGGCTTTCCGTCATAATTGGCTTTGAAAACGGCACCCATTCCTCCGGTTCCGAGTTTAGTCCAATTGCTTTCCTCGAGGTCGAGCTTTTCCTTGTCAAGCACCATTGAGGAAGGAAGATCAGAGAGCAAAATATCTGGAACCAAATGAGTTAAAGGAACCGGCCTCTCCGGATGCATCTGGCAAAAAACCCGGTCGTGGTTCAATGCCGCTATAGCACACACTGTTAAAGGAAACTGGTTGACAAACGTGGGATTTCGAACATACGATGAAATGTCCAAAGAGCCATAGCTATCCATATCGTATTCGGCCAGCTTTTTCTCATGGAAGTCCATCACGCAGGCTGGACATGGAATCATTCGCTGCACTACCATTATACCGTATTCATCTAAGTCTTCAAGACCTTGATTAAAAAGACAGATTTTCAGGTCAGGGTCCTATTAAAATCTAAAAATGAAAATTCAATGAGATGCTAAAAAAGAGGTTAAAAAAGGCACCGGTCGAAAGCATACACAATTATAAATTACGTAAATTGCTTACAAAATTTTATTCCTTTTAAAACTTCTTTTTATAGATTTCACCCAACTTTCTCTAATTTGAAAAAACATAACGGCTTCATGAATCAAACTTAAAAATCATATCATGTAGAATAACAGTTAGAGTATCACGTAAAATTTTAGCCAATATATTTCATCTTTAAATATCGATAGACACTGGGAACCTCTCTATATCGGTAGCTAGGGATACTTGAAACATCTTCTTGCGAGGCGGTAAAACACCACCTTTAGATGACTTTTAATAAAAAAAACACGAGAAAGTTGCTCTATACAGCTTTACATGAGAAAGTGTTTATACAGATAATGAACCAACCTGGATACCACTCTGTGATGAGCCTATCAACCTGGTCGACAATGAACCCCATAACCGAAAAATCTCCGTAGTCAGACCAAACCGTGATCGAAACACCTTCACTCCCATACTGATATTCATCTCCAATCAAGAACTGCTGTTCGTCGGACTACAGTTAAAAGTAAAGCTTCGTTTAGAATTTCGAAAAGCCTGCTAAGTCACGTAACATAAGGTCGAAACCCTGTGACTTTGTACTTGTATTTTTCTATGATTTTGACACATTTCTATTGAAGTTAAGTCCATCGAATATGTAAAAATAAAGCTGTCAGTCCATCATTAAGCAAGTAGCGCGTTATCATTCAGATACATTTTAGTATAAGCCCGATATTTCACAACACCTAAGTTGTTGCAGGTCGCAAAATTTCCTGAGTGCCAAAGAGGATACCAGAGAGGGTCACAAAATAGCCATTTAGAAAAAGTGTGATAAACGTGTCGATAAAATGAGTGAAAGCTAATTGATATAATCTAATGGATGAAGAAGAATCAATGGGAATCAACTTACATTATCTTTGAAAGACTCGACTAAAAACTTGCCACTTTGGTAAGATACCAGGATGCCTTCACGCCAATACACCATTGAGTAATTGTTGGTTTTCATTCCGATCCTGGTACCTTGCTTGTTAGGTGTTACTTCATTAACTTCTTCACTTTCCTGGCCAGTGACAATCATTCCCCACTTGTGAACAGCAATTATCAGACGGGCTGTAGGTGGGGAATTTAATGTTAACAAGGTAATCGATCAATTCTGCTTTGGTAGATAGTCTTTTTGAAAGAGAGCGTTTAATTTACTAATTCTGACGCTATATTTTGATGACAAGTTTAAAGTGAAAGTTGGGTCGAGGATACTGGTAATATACTCTTGTGAAACTCATAAAGGTTTTTCATTTTTAAAAAAATCTCCTCAAACAGTGTCAACATACCAATGAGCCTACTCCAAAATCCAGCCGGTACATACATCAGGTGGTAGTTCCTTAGAATGTGGTCCACTAAGAACGGCTGCTGGCTGTTTGCCCTTCCTCTCGACAAAGTTGCTAGTTGAGTCAATCGATTGCTTTTCTTATTAGTCCCAAAGTCAGTTGCCCGTTCAATATGCAGTATGGGCCTTTCTTTTGGCAGCATTGAAGGGACAAGAATGCGTTCCTCATCCAGCCTCAGGGCTATTTCGAATCTTTCCAGTATTTGCAAATACTAAAATTTAATTTAAAGAAAAGTAGAAATTGAATTTTTGTTTGGAAGTTGTTTGGAATGAGGGTATGGGTGTGCTGTGCGTACAGTACAGGTTTGAATTAGCTCTTGAAACAATCGAGATGGATATTCAACTCACTACTTAAAATGAATATGGCTGATATTTGCATGAGCACATTTTTTGCCTGTCATTTATGCATGAAAGAAAAATAAATCATTTAAATCTCGGCAGAAAAATAAAAGAGTTACCTGCGGTATGAAATCAGCCGGCAGTCGGGGACACTTCAACACAGACTTGATGTCCGAATCTAGAATGTAGCCCCCTTTTACGAAAGGGTTCTTTTGTCTAACTGTCACAACCAGTGCAATCATATCACAAAGCCACTTTGGATCGATGAAGTAAAGATTGTTCAGCCCACGAAGATAATCATTGTAGTGGAGAAGAACACCATGTTCATGTAAGAACTTTGCAGCTAATTAAAAGAAGCGATGGTTATAAAAACGCCACTTGGCTCTTTCTAAAACCGAATATTCTGGAGGACATTCAAGGGTGATAGAGAATGTAGGGAAAATTTTGTTGGAGATTTGCACTGAAAGCAACTAGTCTTGCAGCTAAGCAGTTAAATGGAGCTCGTGCCCAATTTTCCAATTGCTGATTTTGATTGGTCGGTAAGTAAATACAGGCTGTGCGTACAGTACAGGTTTGAATTAGCTCTTGAAACCATCGAGATGGATATTCAACTCAATTAAATTGAAGCTTGAGAACAAGAACAAAGAAAAAATTTACGATACTGCCAAAAGACATCAGCTCAAATCATTTGATATCGATATAAATATTTATATATAATCCCTTGTTTGTTTTGCCTAAAAAATATTTATTGCAACTTCTGTTGACAGTAATTAACAGATTTAATGGTATTCAGAGATGAATTTTATGAATCTTCTTCACAAATATCACAGTGATAAGTAGGTATTTTACCATGGTTTAGTTCTTCGGTGTCATAAATGTCGTTGTCAGGGTTGTCTTTTGCGATTTGAAGAAGTTCTTCTGCCGTTAATATTGGTGGCTTGTTGGAAGCAGCTCTCAGTTCAGCCTCTTTGGTGACTGCATCATATAACTGCAAGTAGCTCAATGGGACCTGTATGTGGAACAAACAAAAACTACAAAAAATAGAAAGAATATATTGAACGTAAATAGACTTGACAGATCTTACAATAAACAGAGTAAATTCAAATGAAGAAACATTTAAATCAGTTTTCGCAGTATCCTGCCCCATCAAGAACATTGAACCAAGATAACCCAATTTAAACTTAACATAAATCATCACTAACCATTTTGCCGATTATAGGTTCATGAGTGTGACAGTCCTGCATTTTCAAAGCGACCTTGTGAACAACCTCTCTCAATTTTGATAATCCTTCACCAGTCAAATTTGAAACGAAAACATTTCCACAAATTGTAGGAAAACCTTTTTGATTAAATTTTGAGAATAATTTGTGTTCCAACTTCTTCAAGTGATCACTCTTCTTTGCAGATGGAAGTCGGTCAAGATGTGTTCCAACAGCTATAACTTGTGATTTCGGGGCTCTTGCCTGTGAAAAACAAAAGAAACATTCAAGTGCTATGTCCCAAGACTATTGCTGGTGTACTGAGTGGTAAAGTCGTCACAAAATCACAAATCCGGTAAGGAACTTTGTTAGATACAAGTAATAACTGTTCATGTCTCATCATTCATGATGTTTATTATGATTACAAACATAATGATTACTGCATCCGCTTTGAGGTGGAGTCAGGGAGGAAGTTAGAATAAGTGTAAACGTAAGATTAAAGCTCGTAATACACAAGGCAACCCCCTTTCTTGGAATAAAGAAGCATGTGCATTTGACTGAGTCATTACTACTCATGCTCTTTGACCCCGAGGAGAAGGAGGATGGGGTTGGGGCCGACTCACTCATTAATAGGAAAAATATGCGTTTGTTCATCTCCATAAAAAAAGCTGCCATCGAGTCGGCATGTGCAACCAACATTGGAAAAGGGGCCACGACTGTCATCAGATGTCAATTAAAAACCTAATATTTGTAGCAATAAAAAAGTCTGAAAATACCACAATGAAGAAGGTATAATTTGCCAGTAAGAAGAATTCAATGTATTGATGAACGCTTTGGAAATAACAAAAGTTAAAAGTATGCAAATTTCAGCATTGAAGCGACGCTCTTGAATTCGTTTGAATGCGGGCTGTAATCCCCCGACCGAAAATGTCCGAACGTTCTACGCTTCAGCATATCTTTTTCTGCTGTTTAACATTACCTGTATATTTAGAAGCCATGGTGCTAGTCCATCGATGCCTTCCTCTCCGTGCTCTAAATTCCATACGACGAGGTACAGGGTGTTGCTTGTCAGGAAACACTGATGAGTTGCGTAATAGACGTGTTGCCCAGCAAGGTCCCATGTGCTGAACAGAATCTCTTTTCCTTCGGTGTTTTGCTGTAACAAAACGCAGTCAGCAATGTTACAAACAGAAAAGTAGCCTTCTTGTCGACCCGTATTCATATTGAATTCAGTTGTCTACAAAATACCGGCTTCATTTCATATCGTATTGACCAGTGTCTTCTTGTGAAAGGAACGGCTAGTATGGTACGATACTGTACCATATTCATTTGAATAGGGTTTCGTATGCACAGTCTCATTGCGAGTATTATAGCATTAAAATGGTTTGGATTGGTTTTACATTTAAGTTTTCACAATTTACTGGCAAAATCATCATAATTCATTACGCAAAGTATTTAAAAGGCTATATAGAAATTTTTCTAAGGACGAGTGAAATATACAGAAACCCACTGGTGTTAAGTCTGAAGTCTTATGTACGTTGTACTTTGATAAGAAAAGATCTATTTATACCTTTCGATGGGAGGTTTGCTTCTCGAGAAAAAACACACCAAGTACTCACCGAAGAGAAAAACTTGGTGATTTTCCACTGATTGCTGCTTGGTTGAAAGTGCCACTGCTCAACATTGATGCCATCAGTAGCAACATTTTCTAAAGGTGCTGGTTTGTTTTGAAGTGTTGCCAGCAATGTAGTTTTTCCACGACCCTGTGCATATTGACAAAAATACAAATGTAAATATTATCAAAACGATGCAATGAAACTTGTAGAAGGGATAGAATGCTCCTACAAAAACAAAACCTGGGCTCAGGCTTAAAGCAATAAATCAAGAATAGTTTTTTAAACTAAGCAACAGGCTCGTCTCGAGCAATTTTATCAAATTCATTACTTTAAATCGGCGTCTTTTTACTCGCTTATTCTAAATTGATAAGATGGAAGCCTTTAATAGCGAAAAATTGCTACAACACCTAAGGGCAAATTGATAAGCTAAATGTAGCTGACTCAAGTTGGGTTACTTTTGCACTGACCTGAAGTCCAACAACCATAAGTTTCATTCGCTTAAATGGCACAGACTTTCTCAGTCTCGCCCTTAGCATTGCAAGAATTTTCTTCACACCACCAGAAACTGGAGAAACAAAGATTGTAAAACTTATAGTAGAAAATACTGTCTGAGATAATCGATAACAAAGTTATCGATACAGATATAACGCCCGTGTAGTCATAGGTAGAGTTTGAAATTTTGAAAGGCCTAAAGAGAACCTTTTAACACTACGTAAGGTCGATAAAATGAAGGAGATTACATCAATTTGATGAAAAAAGGGGATTATCGTAAAACTAAACGTTATGAGACAATGTGGCTTCTAGGAATTTCTGAATCTTGCAACATGTTCTGAACCAAAAAGAATCTTGAAAACCAACCCTAGTGCCCTGCCAACAGAATTTAACCGCCATGTTGAGTTATCAGGACAACTTACCTCGCAAATTTTGCGGAACATCTGGCAGTGATAAATTGTCAAGCTTGAGATTCCAAATATTGCGCAGATTGCCAAGCTCAGGTGGAAGTCTTGTTAAACGTGGGTTGCTGAAGAAATAAGTCACAAAAATTTCATTGAATATTCGTACGTAGTAGCTTCGAGGCTGCACGACAGTGCAGAAAAATTTTCAAAAATATCTACAGAAATTTTGACACAACTCGGAATCTGAAACGTCCATTTTCCATCAATTGAAGACTTAATATTCAGCTATTGGAAATTGATGCCTGTGAGAACTTTACCTACCCTTTTAGAGCTAGGTGGAGCCGTGTTGCTATTCAGTAGTAGGTTTGGGTTCACTTCAGGCTAAAAAGACTCTTCTTAGAAGAGTGCTGCAAGGAATACATCTACAGGGAATATATCTAATTCTTTTAGCTAAATAAAAATTATGTTCTGTTGGAGTGTTTTTAACATGTTGAACAAGCAGGACTGAAACTTATTGCCTTACAATTGGTATAACATCACAGAGTGTATATTTATGAAAAACACACTGCATGTCCTAATGTCCCCGATTGTTTAAGACGATAAAAAATGTGCCATTCTGCCATCCAAGCTATTTTCAACTCGTTCCTAAGCAAAACTCCAGTTCGCCCTTTGCTGATTATATGTCGTTTCAGACAGTAGTGTTGTAAACTGGAGGACTTTGACAAACGTGGCGCAGATGTAATGTTTTAAACGTCACGAGAAAAGCTAGCGTTCGCATCCAAAATGAAAAGAGCCGAGATTATAGTGCAAAAAACGTACTTGCTTAGATTCAATTCGCCAAGGGATGTCAACATGCAGACAGTATCTGGTACAGTTTCAAGACGGTTGTCGCTGAGATCCAGCGCATGCAGAGTATTTTTCAACATCTCGTATGGAAACTCACAGTCTGATGCAAAACAAAGGCTATCTCCCAGTACAATAGCTGCCTCAATCGATGTTTTTTCAACATCTGTAAATCCTGTTGGTCCAGAGTTTGCCGACAACTGCATAGAAGTAAAAGGGGAAATTTGGAAAACAACAAAAAAACAGTCAACCATGGTTTTAGCAAAGAAGTATTAAAACAACCATAAAAGACCTCTTGAATTTCAAAGGGTATGCAACGAATATGCATCTGTCCAAATTCAAATTTCTTTAAAAGTTCAGGTGCTGGTAAAACCATTTGAGTGACGAGTGGCTCACTCATTTAAAATCCTCAACAAATTTTGCGAAAAATTCACTGCTCTGAGATATATCTACATAAATCCTTTTCTTTTAAGACTCTCTTACATATTGCTGGACGATACAATACACCATACCTTTAATTAAATATATTTCCAATGAACATTTTAATACAAGTGCCTTTACTTCACTCTTCTTTGCCATTTTCAGCAAACAAGACATTGTGCAGTTGACGTCAAAAGTGACGCCTAAAACCCTTTCTACAGGACGTCAAAAGAACAAATAGCTACATTCTTCATTCAGTATTTTAGCCAGAACTCTAATTGGGATAGACAACTATTTCTGGTTTAGATGATTACCCTACATGATGTGAAGTTCGACATCTTTTGGTCTGTTGTTACAGATTTTGTTACAAACGATTTTGTTACAAAGAGTGGTGCTGACCTTTAATTATATCTTTAAGAATACTTACCAAGTTGTGGGAAAGATTCAATTTGTTTAGGCATTTCAGTGACCAGTATTCATATGGAGGAAGACGTTCCAGCAAATTGTGACTTAAGTCCAACATGACAAGGTTTTCCAGCTTACAAACACTCTGTGAGATTTCAGCAAGCTTGTTGCCAGCAAGATTAAGTCTTGTTAAAGTTTTAGCCCAATAAAGATGAACACTTTCTTCAAAAGCCACAAGCTCATTGCCTGATAAATCCAGCTCATTCTGTAAAAGTATTCAAAGTCAATTATCATTACAATAAATTTGGCATTAAATTATAGTTAAATAAAGACTCAGAATTTGCAAAACAGGATTAGTAAGCTTTGTGCCGCTGATGGAATTTATAATTCACAATTGTTCTTGATGCAAATTTTGCATAAAATTTGTCAACAATACTAGATTTATCTAAAGGGATCTTGCTCTTGAAGAATGAAACATGGAAAAATTGTTTGACCTGGAAAAACTTTCCACCTTTCACTTTATTGAGGAAAATGGAAAAAAGCACACAGCAGTAAGTATCTAACTTAAATGCAAGGTTGTGTAGAACAAAATTGTTTTAAGTTACAGATTGAGTTTCATGCTTAATGTGACCTTTAGGAAGATGATATTACTAAACGTACAAAGCTAAAGATCACATCAACAGACACCAATAAATGTGGGTTGTACATATTGAAACATTATGGCATCTGTTTAAGTAAAACTAAGAAAATTTTAAGCGGTAAAAGCAAACTATGATGTATGGTTATCATTGAATAAGATAATGCACATTAAGTACTCAGACACCATGGAGTCGTGGGGGCTGGGGGCTTTAGCAAAAAAATGCCAAATATTCAGTAATAAATTACCAGTACAGCCTCTTTTTATATGATTTTAGCCCCCACAATTTTCTCAATACTTCATGGTGCCTGGTTTTCATGTGGTTTGCATGAAGATTACATACCAACGGGCAATTCCATGGTGTGACAAAGAATGTGAGCTTATTGCGAGAAACATTCAACCTCTCAAGGCTGGTTGCTCCATGAATTCCTTTTGGGATCTGAATAAGCATGTTCTCAACCAACTTCAAGCTTTTAAGCTTATCACATTCCCATATCTCATTGAATATAAAAGAATCTAATGATCCATGTGGGGGGAGATGCTTTAATTTATTTCCAGATAAATCAACTACTTGTACACTTCTATTTTTGAACAGGGCAAATGGCACAGATTGGAACTGATTTTTTGAAGCAATTAGTCTTTGCAACCTACAAAATAAATTTATTTTCAAACCATTTCTTATGTTTTGTGTATATAAGCAACATTTGTATTACTGATCCATTTAGAAAAATATCTAGTAGAATTATTAGCTTAAAAAGGTGCTGAATTGTATGAAGAATGGCATTTATTTTATTACATGATATGTTAATTCAACAGCCAAATACATTTATCAAAATAAACTATATTTAGAAAATAATGATGTTTTCTTAAAAATGTTAAATTTTGAGGTTATCAATTCAAATCAATTCCATATCCATTAATTGATGTTTGCAGCAAACAAAAAAAGTTTCACAATGATTGGAAGCAGAATTTGATTTTCTGAAGTTTTGGCATACAACATTGCAACATAAAATAAACAAGTAAATGTAATTCCTTCTTTTAAATAACGCCTGTTCTCAAAAATTGTGCCATGACACTGTTTACTCAACTTGGCATATAAAACACAATTCTTTTCCACCCACTTTTCTAATATTTATGTAGATTTGCAAAGAAATTTTGTTGTGTTTAAGTTCTAAACTGGAAATTATTTCTTGTCTTGAAACAACAAATTAAAAAGGTATCTACTATAAAATTACAGAAAATGTCTTTCATGAAAGTAGGAATAGAAATAGAAAAAAAGCTGTACCTGCAGCTTGATAGTCCTCTTTCTGGCAAAAAGCTTAGTTGGTTCAAAGATAAATTGATATCATGACAGTTCTGTAGCAAGTCAAAAAAAGAAGGCGGCAACTCAGATATTTTATTTTCCTGAAGATGAACAGAAGAGATCATGTGTGCATGAGTATCAAACCAGCTATCATGGATTCCACGCAAATTCTTTTCATTCCAGAACACAGAGAGGCTACTTCTAGATGGATCACCTTCATTTCTGAGTCCACGTAAGCTAGGCGGTTGATTGAATCTTTTAATCATGCTAAAACGAACATAATCATAAATATAACATCAATTATCTTGTTTGTGAATTTCTGATTTGATTAGAGAAATTTCAAAATCAATGATAGATAAACATAGATTTTCTCATTAAAAAAGCTTAGTAAATAACTGTTCTCATATATTCCCATAGATAAGAAACATAACTTACATGTGAAAGAGGTTTTTGAAATAATCTAGAAATTCATAGATGCTAATTACTGACTTACTTAAAAATCTCTAAATTGCCTACTATTCTTTAAGATGTTTCAAGTAGATGAAAACAGTACCTGACTGATTTGTCTGCTTTGTTACATATTATAACAAATATAAATATTTGTGTTCAATTATGACCATGATCTGACCAGCTCTTAATATATTTGATGCTTCTTACTATGATTGCTTTATTGATTGATCTCTCAAGATTAAATATTGGACACCCTAGCTTTACACTAAAGAGTTATTAAATATCAGGCCTTGCTCTAAGCAAAATGAAGGTGCTCCATAGAAAGAGCCCCTTTGAAACTCTAGGCGCTCCATTTCGAACCTTTAAATAAAATATCCTTGAGAGCATCCTTCAAGAGCTTTGGAATATCGCGAGCTTCATATAGAAAGCTTTGGAAGAGTGTTAAATAAGAAATTCAATGGTGATACCAAAAAGCACCATAATATGGAAAGCAAAACATGCAGCAAACACTATGTTAATACAAATATAGAAATTTAGGAAAATGCATGGCTTTAAGTCGAACATTAACTTTGGTTTCCTTTTTATGCTATCCATTCTATAAGACACACTAGAACATCTACTACTCGCGAAAGCAAATGCAAACTGAAAAGCAATGCGATAATTTGGAGGGAAATGTGATCTCTGATTTGCAAAGGTGATTTTAAATTATTAAGAAAAAAAGAAAATAATACTTCAACAGAAGATTAACGCTTGCTCGAAAATCAAATAAATCTGACGGAGAATACGATTGATGGCCTGTGTCCTTGATGGTTATTAGAGGGTTATTAGATTAAAAATGGTATCGAAAACCAAACGTTGAATTTGCTGAATTTTTTTCTCAAGGGGTAATCTTTCGCAAATCAGAATATTGCGGTCTATTGGGAAGATTGTTTATGCTTGATCAAGTTTATTAGACAAAGGCCAAAAATTAATTTGCTCCGTGGTAATATTGTTTTAACGTTTTTAGGCGCTCTATAAATCGCTCTCCAAGGCTTCTTTTGGGTGCGCTCTAGGCGAGCGCGCTCGATCAAGCGCCTTTCCGGGCAAGGCCTGAAATATGTATGACGTTTAACTGCCAATCTAACACATTGAAAAATGTTCCCCTCCTAAAATACGAATATTTCATATGGTTGCTGATTGATCCAACAAAAGTTTCTATCAAGTGCAGTGACTGTATGAGATCAGTATTATAGTATGCCAATTGCAAAACATGGTTAAGGTCCCCTTCCAGACATGCATTAAGAAATTCTTGATGTAAATCTATAAAATAACAAGAATGATATGAATTGTGAGACTAAGAAATTCCTCTCTGACAAAGCTCAAAGAAGGCCTTGCACCAAGCAAACCAAAAACAAACTCCTTAAAAACTCAAGGCACTCTATTTCACACTTCTGTGTAAAATTGTTGTTTGCAAAAATTTGCCTTTTCTTCTAAATGAAAACAAGTCAAACAATATGGTCCAAACTGAAACGATGCATTTCAAATTATCATATCGACTTCAAATGATTTAACTCTCAAAATCATTTGTATATGATTGTATTTATGATGCATGGGAAGTAACTTTATTATTCAAAAATGTATTCTTGTAGACATGGCCTTATAAGGAACCAGATAAAAAATCTAGTCATCAAAAAGTTATTGGTATAAACTCTTGTATAAATCTTACAAACCAAAATATTTCGGTCATTTCAGAAGATTGTCTTTGCTTTATCAGCAGTATTTTCGAACAATCATTTGCTTTAGTGCAGTATTGTTTTACATTTTCGGCCACTCATTAAATTGCTCTCTGTGGCTATATTTAGGTGCACTTTAGGCACTAGCACTCGATCGAGCGTCTTTCCAGCTAAGGCTGGTTTAAAGGCATCTTTTATTATATTTTTTTAAAAATAATTTGTTATAAATAGAACTAAATACATAATGAAAATACCAGTAAAAACTTAAAAACATAGGAATAGTTACTCTTAACATTTATCTAGCTGGCAGTAAAACGTTTGTGGAGTATTACCTGGGAGTGCGCGAGTGCATTTGTAATAACTGTGCACACTCGAATGTGCATGAAATTGTTCTTGTGTGTGTGCATATTTTCCGGCACTTATCCTGTTTACATCAATTTTACATCTCAGGGACATTCATGATCGAGAGTTGAACTATGCTTACCTACCACTACTATCAGTAGCTGTAATTCAAGTTCCTAAAGGTTCCACAAGTAAAGGAATGATTTTATAAATAATGTTTAGAATTCCCAAAGGCATGATTATCCTAAAGGATTATCTAAAGCTGGGGCACCAAAAGGGGATAGGGGCCAAATCAATTTAGAATGACACACTTTTTCCAATCTCAGTTACGAAAAGCTTTAGAAGTCCATTTTGTCGCATTTAAAAAAGCTTATTAATATGAGCCACATTCAAAACCACACCCATATTTTGGGTGTGCAAGAGTGCACTGGTAATTTTGCAAAAAATTATCGGGAATACAGCTGCCATGGAATCCATACTGGGATGATCTCAGTTGCGAGAGCAGCCACATTCAAAACCACACCCATATTTTGGGTGTGCAAGAGTGCACTGGTAATTTTGCAAAAAATTATTGGGAATACAGCTGCCATGGAATCCATACTGGGAGACATTGCGAGACAGATTTGATATGTTTTGATTTATGATAGCCACGAATAGTAAAAACATGATATCGCCAAGACTTTGCTCTACTTTAGTTTTCCAATATATCATTGCAAAAAAGTAGAAAATAAGAATATTAGATGATTAATATTAAAAAGAGGGAAGGGGAAAAGTTCTATTCAATTTATTTTTTTCACTTGATCCAAAATGTAATAGTTACAATAAATAGAAGTCGGTAATCTGCATGTCAACATTTGTCAGCTGTTCGGTGAATTTATTTCCCTTCGGGTAATCAAACCTGTAGGTTGTTCATTAAAGCTGTCTAAGCCACGATTCACTGCTCAAATTAGAGATATGATTATGAACAACGGGAGGGAACTCGGCAAAAGTGAAGATGTCTGGTGATGGTGAGGTTCACGCTGCGACCTGCAAATCCCTTGGGATGGTCAATGTAAGTGTAGACATAAACCGTTCAAGTAAGAATTGATTAATAATCAGAACCTACCTACAACAGAAACAGCCATTTAAAGCGAAATCTGAAGTTCCGTCAAATTTTCTTTCCCGTGTTTCGCAAGACAACCAATCGTCCATTCGTCCATTATTGTGTCCAGTCCCCACTCTTCGTCGCTTGAATTCCAAGAACAAAGCGGAAGTGGTTTCACTTGTGCCCTTGTGCTCAAACACTGAAGCAAAATGGCCGTGTTAACCAAATGATATCGTACAACAATGGATCAACAGCAGGTTGTAGAAGGTTTGTCTTGATTTGTTTAATTCTATTTATAGCGTTTAACTCTTCAGCAAAAGCTGTTTCTCAAATATGGTTTTTGTAAAATTATCTATCTTTTTTTGTTCTATCTTTATCTCGTTTATGTATGTTCAGTTCCTTTCATTTTTGAAAATCCATACATACAAATCTTTTAAAATACAACAACAGGTTACAAAATAAAAATGGCCTAAGTAGAGTAGACTTTTCAATTTCCAGTTTAAACAAGAGGAAGTATATATTTTCTCTCAAGAACTGTAAAAACCTCTAGGTAAATGCCTAAAACAACCAAAAATTAACTTTAATCAATCTAAAAAAGTGTGTGAACAAAGTTATTAATGAGCAACCAAACACCATTTCACAATGCGAATCGTCAGAGCGAACCGTCTGAATCATCATATCAATTCATCTCAGTTGACTCTATTAGGCCATTTTTCTTTTGTAACCTGTTGTTGTATTTTAAAAGATTTGTATGTATGGATTTTTAAAAATGAAAGGAACTGAACCTAATATGAAGCCCTTTTCAAAATATAAAGTAATTAAGTTTATATTTTTGGAACTTATGCTCATCGAAACCTTGCTACACTAATAAATGCTCGCACAAACATCGCTATGCTCAACAGATGTTGATGTTTAGCTTTTGTTTCAGTTTCTATCATTGTTTTTAAAGTAACAGAAGCATCAATAGAAGAGAAAGTGAAAAATAAGCATTTGCAATGAAGAAATGAAGCGAAAGAGCACAATAATGCGAAATCTGGACATTTGTAAGACCATCACTTGACAACAGTTTCAGTTTCGATTCATCAGTAAATCCTTAATACCATTCTACAAAGATACATTGTAGCTAATTACACAGTCAGCATTTATTACATTTGAAATACTTGAAGCAATCAATATTAAATAAAACAAAACCAGACAAAAAACTTTGCAAGAATGCTCTTTAAGATTAATTGACTAAGGAGGAACTCTCTAAATAGTTTAACTAATCGAGTGAGACAGTCCTGCAAATGAAATTAAAGAAAATAAAATGCTAAAAACAACAACCAACCAAATGTGCTGCTACCAAGGTTTTTTGTTAAAGGTTCTAAGTCATGATAAAAGGAAGGGGACATATCCAAGTATACCCAAATACTCTAATAGATCAGGTGGAGAAAGGGGGTATTGTCTCCTGAAGGCGAAATTTATGGCATAAATACAACATAGAATGGATTTGGTCAATCTTGGGGTGCTGATTCTAAATAGTTTAACTAATCAAGTGAGACAGTCCTGCAAATGAAATTAAAGAAAATAAAATGCTAAAAACAACAACCAACCAAATGTGCTGCTACCAAGGTTTTTTGTTAAAGGTTCTAAGTCATGATAAAAGGAAGGGGGCATATCCAAATATACCCAAATACTC